AAAAAATATCCATGATGATAACTTAGAAAATTGATAATATGAAAAAATAAATTTTATATTTAAAATTAAATTATTTAATAATTAAGTTATATATTAAAGACCAGAAGAGCATTACAAATCGCATGTGAAGACAAATATGAAGCCAGTGGTCCTGTGGCTTTAATTTTTTTGTTCTTTTTTGACCGAATTGTGGCTTCAATTAAAACCTGTCTCGGAAGTCAGAGGTTGTGATTCTGAATTTTTGTATTTTAAAGTCAGCAATACGTATTGCCTACGAACCAATCCATCAGTTTACGAAATAAGCCTATGTTAATAGAGCTGGGTTTGCATTTTGGGCCCCGGTTGCTAGAAAACACTTGGGTAACAGCCAGTTCAGTGACTAATATATATATCTGTGGTCCAGACAATTTATATAAGCTCCTTCGATTCCTACTCCTGTTGTTACCGTCCACCTCGCCGACTAGCTTCCCACGTTCGATGCTGCTTACGATTCAATAGAGTCATATTCAATCGTTGTGCAGTGTCTGGGCTTTCAGTTTCTGATGAATGCTCATGATGATGCTTCAAGTCTAGGTGAAACTGAAATGAACAGGTTTGATGCCGAGCTTCACTGTAAAATGAGAAATATTAGTAGTAGTATTAAAAACACGACGTTGTATTGTTTTTTAGAATTAACATAAAAATAATTTAAAAAATTAAACAAGGTTGTTTCAAACCGGAAAACTTCTTGCATGCGCTTCGGGTATTAATGAGTTTTTTCCCCCCTTTCCAATTCGGTTTTCCCCTTGGACCTTCATCTTAGGTCGTCCTCTTCTTTCTTTCTTCCAATTGCCTGCCTTCAGACTTCTTTTCCCTCCTCCTCCTGTGTTTTCCCCCTCCTATTTCCATCTTCCTGCTGAATGCTCAAGGATTAAAGGTTATTTTCACTCCAAAAGTACTCCCAAAAGAATAGCGGGTATTTTGAATCCCTGACAATTATAAATGTTAATTTTAAATATTACATCCATATTTAACTACTTTATGCAGGTCTGCTTTGCTGAGTTGGTATTAAGCGGGGCTTGTTGACAAATCATAAACACACCAACTCTCTAAATTTAAATCCCAGCTGGCAATCATTTGATAAATTAAAAAATAAAAACGAAAACAAAATACCCAGAACAGTTATTTCATCCGGAAAATAAATTCCTCGTCTTCTTCGTCACTCGTCTTCTCCATTTATATTCAGTGTGAATAAAATTTACAAAAGAAAAGTACAAGACATGGTTATATAATCGAGTTTTCTTATTAATATCATTTCGTTTTAAATAAAAAATTAGTTCTCTTTAAAAATCTTTGCAGCAAATTTTGAAGTCAAATAAATACATTGGAAACTCTAGAAATTGCCGGTTCATAAAATGATTTTGCTGTTTTAGTGGGGAGAGGAGGAAAGGCATAGATTTTGTCAAAACCAATCAATTCTCAAGGACGCAATGATTAACGATGGTGCAGAACTTGTAGTAAAAACAAAATGTGAAAAGAAAAAAGAACAATACAAGGCAAGAGCAGGGCCGCTTCGGGTTTCAAATTGTTTCACGGAAGATGCTATGCTAACTACGTTGGGAAAATTATTAGTTTAATCTCGTTCAGGCTATCCAATAAAACTAGCCAGTCCGTCCGAAATAAAATGGCCAGACCATGTTATTAATTTTAATTTTTTCAGATAACTTATTGATTATTGATAAATCAATTATATACGCCTTTATTTCCAGCTTTTATTATAGGTCATTTTCACCACATTACTGAACTTCAAGCAGTGCTCACTTCTCTTCATGTTCTCAGATTATTATGTGTGCCTGACTTGTGAATTGCAACATATAACATTTATCAGGAATCTTTCCTTCTTCTTTTTTTCCAAATTTATTAGGAAGCCCCCAAATTTCCAAATTCATAACACCAGGCATAACAGAGAGAATTATTCACTTTTCTTTGTCAAGCATACTGAAAAAATATTTGTTCCCCTGCTAATTTCATTCATATTTCTATTTCACTTTCCATTATAATAGTAAAAGTTAAAAATCTTTCCAATTTGCCAGTCGGGTCATGGAGTGTCGCCCAATTTTCAGGTATGCTATAAACAGAACACCAAACGTGGCTGACACCAGCATTTAAACAACCGGCAGCTGTCGTTTAAACATTAGATGGCTGAGCAGCAACCTTCGTTGGCAGTGCATCTTGTCAATCTCCTCATTGTATTTTGCCACAAAAGAAGGCCATCTTTTTAATTATATAACAAGAAGCCTTCACAAAGTGCAATTCTTAATTGGAGAGGGAAGGAATATCCCAGCATGGATCCCCTCACATAATAGTGTCAATCAGTTCCTTTGAACCAATGGAAGCGCTTAAATTTATTGAGTTTACCGAATTTTTTAGTGTTTTTTGGGGGTCATTTTATATTAAGTGGAGTGGAATCTGATTCTCTCGTGAAGGCAATTTAAGTAAAAGTGCCTTTTGAGCAAAGTTAGGCTTTTTGAGGACCCAGTGGCCTGGGACACCCAACCCCTCTCATCCATGTGCATCCCCTTTACCCGGTGCACGGGGCAGCCCGAGGCGGCGAAGCAAATATTGCAGGCTCAACCGCACATTGATTACCCGCTTCCTATCTCCCCGTTTGCTTGTTTTCACTCATGTCACCATGTTATGTTTACTACTTACCATGCAAGTATGAACCTGCTGGTTGAAAAAACAAAAAGAAAAAACACCCTTGAAGTTTTGATTTACTATAATCTATCTTATATTAAATATTATCTTCAATTTTTAATATAAGACCCTATTTAATTTTTATTTTAATCTCATATATAAAACATTAATTCACATTATCTTTTATATTTATGTATTTTTTTAAGATAATTCTTCTAACAATAATAGTTCTAACTAATACATTTAATTAGTAACAATATTTTTAAAAAAACAATACATAAGAATTCCTTTTCTGTTACTTGGAAAAATAAAATACGGCGCATCACAAAATGATGGTGACCTTTACTTGTGGTCACCATGTCTGTCTGTTTGTGTTTATTCAGAAGGGACCTCACGATGACCCGGCATCAAGCAATTAGATGAATTCTTTCATAAACCAAAATCCGATTATTGGATATATCCTATCATATTATAATATAATTCATCCATTAACCAGATTCCTTCTCATTCAACTCGAATCCGTGTTAATAATACTGCAGATCTGGTCACTCCGATCCAGAAAATCCCACCCGTACAAATAAAAATTCAGAACCAATAAGGCCATCGGCAGATTGCATAGGCCAAATCAGAATTGCTAACATAGTTATTCGTAAAAAATCATCTGTTCCTCTTGTTGAAATTCATCTTCTCGTAGCAACTGATCGACATCAGACACAAGGAAAGATGAACCTCGTCTTTCCCCAGCCGAGACTGTGGCTTCGATCGGATCACCTTCGGGACCGCAGGCCAGGAAGAAGAAGAAGACGACGACGACGACGACGAGGAGGAGGAGGTCGAACATGGCTGCGGCTTCGAGAGGGGAGCCAGGTAGAGCGCGTGAAGACGACGAAATCCACCGAGCGCGAGGACCACCGTACGCAGTTGTTGCTCGCTGCAGCCGGTGTTGGCCCACTGCTTGGAGCAGATCAACTCCCACAATCGCTCGTCCTGCGCCGTCTTGTGCCACTGCTTGCTCACGCATCCCGCCATCGCCAGCGTCCTCGCGTCCACGTGCTTCAGCACCTCGAAAAGCAGATTCTCATCAAAATAAACAAACCCGCCGGAGTTTTCTGCCGTCCGATTGTCGGCCTCTTTGTCACCCTCCGTCCGCTTAACCTTCTTCACCTCCTTATCATCACCCGTAGCCGGTGCGACGTCTCCGGAAAGTGGCCTCTTCATCCCAAAGCGGCCAAGACAGAATTTCACAAGCGGACTTTATTCGTTCCTCTCTGTTAGCAATGAACAGTAAGAATACGGAGCTGCGTTCTGATGCGGCTTGAAATCTAAAAGAAGAGAACGGGTTGAAGGAGGTTCCTGAACGAAAAAGGTGAGGAAAATCGCGATGAGGGGGCGTGGGGGGTGAGGGGGAAAAGATAATGGAGCTTGGAGGAATAAGGGTGAAGGTTAGGAGGAGGCAAAGCAGAGGATCCCCATCATCACACCTGTTTCTGAGGGTTTCGGAAGACGACAACAAATACAATGAATGCGTTTGGATTCCATTTTGGTGAATAGACCCACTTGTCCTGCGCCTCGTGGCTCGTGGCCTCATGCTTTTGTTTCTATTCACTTTTTCCTCATTCCTCCCCGCTTTCTTCTCTTCCCCCACTCCTTTTTTCCAATTATTCTTCACTACAGGACAAACACAGATACAGCCAATCGCACAAAGCAATATACAAATAAACAGACATTTAGCCTCAAGTCCAAAAACACAACAAAAATAAGAACAATCATCGATATTTCCAAATCCCTTCCTTACAAGCATACCTTCTAGATTCGTTATCAAGGCCAGCGAGGATGTGGTTGAAATACCTTGTTCATAGATGACGCTCTTTTATGTAACAAACTTGATTCACTGCCAAATTAACAAGCCCACTTGTTGGGAGAATGTTTTATATCTTTATTTAGAAAGGATCCAAAAATTAATCTTCTTTAAGCACAACTCTGTAAGTAGAATTCGAATATTACAAAATCGCATTTGCATCTGCTATGAGCAATGCCAGAATAAAACCACATCAATCAATCTAGTGGAAGGGCGGTGGGCAGGAATTTTCAATGTGAATGAGAAACCCGGATGCGTTGATGAACCTGGGGTCAATTTGGTGTAAGAATTTGCAGATAACTCGTAATTATAAAAACTCATTGCGTTCGAAGAAAAAATGTACTGTAACTAATACAAGGAAATTCAACAAAATAAAAAAGAAAAGCATATGAATAAAATATATATGAGATTTATTTATTTTAATCTCTACAATCACATGCCATGTGCGCATTTTTTTTCAGTGAAAAAAAGTAACAGTAATCAATCCCGTCACATCTTAGGCTTTCCGATGGGGGGTTTAGTGCCATGTGTTGTTTCTTTTGATCTGATACATCGTCTTTGGGCGCTTCCTCGTAAATGATGTCAATGGTCTCGGTGGATCAGGCCGAGGATAGCCCCTCGGCGGACCTTTGGGCCGAATTCTGTATTTTCCTGAACACCCCTCCCCGAAAACACGTGCGCGGAGACAGGTGGAATTCCAAGATTCAAGGCTAAAGATCATTTTGTTGAAAAGTTTAACAATTTGATTCGTTACAAAGTCACTCACTTTTATTACTAAATAATCTAATAAGCTTAGAAAACCCAATTTATCTAATTTTTTAATTTAAAACACGTTATCTCTTCACCAGTTTGACTGTTTATGCCATGGTTAATTATCTTGGGATTGAAGAACGTGCAAGTTTGGGCTGCCAGATTAAGAGTGTGTTTAGATAACGGCGGCAGAAGTAACTTTTTTTAATCTAACTTTTACAGAAGTTAGGTTGAGTAAAAATCAAATAGGGTATTGTGATTTATGTTTGGATTGTGTTTTGAAAAAAAGTTAGTATCAGAAGTTGAAACTTATTTTGATGATAAATGTAAACGTAAATTTGGATGTAGAACGATTTAAAAGGACATAAATTTTATTAAATAGTACATATCTAATATTAGATATATATATATATATATAATGTGACTATGTTTTAAAAAGTAAGGAAAATAAAATTATTAAAAGTAAAGAAATTTAATTTATTATTAGAAAGAAATTATATATATAATGTGATCATTTTAAAAGAAGTAATGAAAATAAAACTATTAAAAATAAGAAAATTTAATTTATTGTTAGAAAGAAATTATATATATAATGTGACCATTTCAAACGAGGAATGTGTGTGTTGTTTTTTTTTTTTTTAAGTGAGATGAGAGAAAATTCATGCAGAGTCAATTAGGTAAAAAATTTTAACACCAAAATAAATGTTCTAACGGCATTTTCTAACGCCTTCAGCACTAAAAAAAAAAAACAACTTCAAAGAGTTTCTTCTAAAAATTCATTTCAGTCTTAGAAGTCAGATTGATCAAACGTGGGCCCAAAGATATTTTAAATGCTACCCCTTAACTTATCAGGTGGGAATACACGTTTGGGGTCCAAACATGATCCCAAACACAGTCTAAGTTTCCACGTACTATTGAAGGGAGAAAGCGCAACTTAGACCGGGCAACACTTATTTCACGCCCACGACAATTCTGTATTTTGAGTGGACAATCACAAGCACCACATGGGGTTGAAGCTCGCCCAAGACTTTCTATGCTGGAAAATAGTAATAACATGTTCTCATGAGCAGCTAATTTAATTTTTCTTTTTTACAACCCCATGGCTGACAAGAACACGAGCCATATTCAGAAATTACGCAAAACAACTCGGCTTACTATATAAGCAATGCATTGCCTCGCCTGGAGCCAAATGGCACATATACAAGATGTCAACAATCATAATACGAAACGTGTGTTTGAGGAATCGCGAAGGAAAGATTTTCTCTTATATTAGCCAGGCGTAGGGAGGAGGGGAAGAGACATAATTAAATTTGGAATATATGCGGTTTCACTTTCAAGATTCAAAAATTATGTACGAGTCAATTGAGGATGAGGACACAGCAAGGCATGCGAGTAGTTTAATTAACCAGTAAAACAATTAATCGCACTAAATTATGTGACTTTTTTGTAATACGAAGGGTATACCGAAGAATTCCGTCATGGGTTTAACCAAAAGTCACGAGAAGCTAAGCCAGCGCATTCGGTGTCCAATGAACGACCCCTTTCATCTCTAACGTACTGCCAAATGCAATCTAAATTTCGCTTTCAATTGTCAAATCATGTTTGATCGATGTCATATCAATATTCCTTAAATAAATGAAAGACCTCTTCCGATTTAATTTTTGCTCTTTCCTAAACAATAGAGTCCGAATTAGTGGGCACATGATGATGAGGGAACCGGCCTTCTGCGGGCATTCTGTTCTAAGTATGAATCCGTGCGTATTTCAAGTTTTGCGGCACCCGGAAAGTCAGATTTCTCATCAAATCCTTCCTCTTCGATCATACACATAGTTGCTGTAAATACTCCAAGGTGGACCACCAAACATATCAGAGACCGTTCCTCCAAATAAAGAAGGTAAGTGTGGCAATTATTGCCCCTTTTCACGACAGCTCCATGTAAAAATTGGTTTTCCACTTTTTTCTTGCGATTTGACTGAAATTTGGGCGAGTACGACCCTCAATTTATATACTAAGGAGAGAGAGAGAGACTTCCTTTAATTTTGCTTTGCCTTTTTCGGTAATGGTGTCGCGAAGTCACATTTTTAACTGTGGGTATCATCGGATCTGCTTTTATGCATCCCATGAAAGGAATCATGAGGATGTGATGGGATTGTTACACCGCTTGTTTTGACATATTTATTCCCTAATTTGCTCGTAGCCTTCGCCCCTTTGGGCTTCAGCATTTCAGGATAGATATAGACAGGAACCTTGAGAACCCCAGGGCCAGTTGTTATGAAAGCAGTCCATTGGACACTAATTTTGGAGGAAAAAGAGGCGAAATGCACTTACACATATATATGCACCGTCATGAACCCAGAACTCAAAAGGAGTGACAGTTCGACCAAACGTGTAGATCCTTTTCCAGTTGACACTCGCGTCACGGTCTACGAGGCTATTAATTTCAGGGTAAGCTTCCGAAAGGTGGTTGTCTCCTGTGACACGGAAAAAAAAGGAACATATGGCATTAAAATAGGAAATAAATATTAAGCATGCACCGCGTAACAGATTGTAAATTCAAGCATTTGAATCAAATGCCGCGTGAAACATACATAGGTTCAACGTGAATTTTGCAACACAGGCTGTTATACCCATACGGTTATACCAATCTTTCTCGTTCTCTTGTTTTGATTCCCAGCGGCGAGTCGCATCAGCATGTAAATCACTCTCTTTTGGGTACTGTAAAGTCAAATTCTGATACCTCCACATTTTCAAAAGCAGGCTTCTTACTCTCTTTGCAAGTGAGAACCGCCCTTTGTCAAGTATCGCCACAACTCTTCCAAAAAGAAAACGAACAGCGGAATTGCCAAAGTCAAATCGGCTTGCAGCTTTTCAAGGACCCACGTGGAAAAGGTCTCACCGACCCCTTGTCGAGCATTTCTCTATATAAACCACACTGGCCAGTTGCTCGTTGCACTCAACGCTGGAATCTGATATACAGATATACTAACCCGCCTTTACAGAAGGGACCGAAGACTAATCGAAGGAGCAGAGAGTCCGAGAGAAAATTCTGAAAGACAAGGATGCCAATGAAGAGCAGTCTCCGGGGCGTGTTGTGCGTCAGTATCATTATGCTTGTGGTGTCATCGCATGTCAGCCATGTGCATTGCCGAGTTCTTCGATCGGAGACGACGTTAAGCACAGAGGAAGCTCGTGACTGCGATGAAATGAGAGGATCGTCAGAGACGCCACTGGGAATGGCGTCCTTCCCTGTTTCTTCCAACAACTCCAGCACCCGTACTTCGATACGGAGCCTGACATTCTTGCTCGCCTCTGGACCGAGTAAAAAGGGTCCTGGCCATTAGCTATATCACCAATCCAACTTTCATACTTTGCGCTTTTAATATTTATTTCTTTTTCCATTGATGTTTTGATGTAACCCACATGTATTGTTCTTTGTTTTGCTCGTTTTTCCTGGCACAGTTATGGTCAGGGTATAGTCGATCGGCAGACAGAGTCTCTCCCTCCGTGATTCTTTCATGGGTTATGATTATGTACGTGTAGTTTGTAAATCCGCACTGTAGAAACAATGACAGTCTCTTGAATACACAATATACTTTATTTGCAAACGTCTTTATTGAAGGAAGCTATGCATTGTGGAGTTTTCAGTTTTGTGGCGTTTTTAGAAAGTTGTCGATGCGCGCTCATGTAATAATGAAGAGACGCCGACAAAATAAAGAAGTTTTCAACAGTTGCAACTTGGTTATTGCATAAGAATCAATGTTAATAAGCAGTATGAAATCGAAAGAGAGAGAGGGGTGGTGGATAAATTTAGGACGCTGCCAAACCTTGTGCTTTGAAATCAAAGACAAGATCACGCTGCGAGAGATATTGACATTCCCCTGACTGCCTAATAACGTTGACTTTCTTATAACACGATTCAGGACACTGTCTTTCTTTAGTTTTTCTTTTCGCAGGGTAATATGAATTTTCTTCACACGTCACTGTGCGAGTTGAGCTCCAGGCCTGTTGGTACAAAATAGTGCGCGTAATTTAAACAAGGAACCTCCATTGTCAGTTATTTAGAGGAAAAGGAGTAAATAGAAAATAGTTTACGTAATACTCTTCTGGTCCTTAATATAGGACTTAATTGTTGAATTGGTTTTGGTCCTAAATATAAAACCCATTTCTCATATTTATCAATTTTCTCTAAATTATCTCTATGGATACTCCCGCAACTATAATCAAGTAGAAGAGGAAGAAATGTATTAAAAAAGATGATTATGGTGTTTTAAAAAAAATGTGTCACACTGCTTATAATTAACTAATTTACCTAACTTTCTTAATCTAATAAATTAGTTAAATAGGTCCTATATTAAGGACCGGAGGAGTATTGCATTTCTAATTACTTACGAAACAGCCATGTAAATTAATTTTTGTTCGCGAATCGTTCATTTTGCATGATGTCATATAATTGAATTAAGATTGCTACTGGGTTCGTTTCAAGATTAAAAGTCATCAGCTTTGTTTGTCTCTGTCTCGCGTGGTTTGACTTGGTTTTTTGCACGCTCCTCATCTTTAATATAAGATCTTGTTTGATTTTTATTTTAGTTCTAAATATAATATCCTAATTCATTTTATCTCTCATATTTATTCATTTTTTTTCCAAGATAGTCCTTCTAATAATAGTAGTTCTAGCCAATAAATTTAATTAGCAAAGATATTTTAGAAAAAAACAACACCTATTTATTACAAATAACTAGCTTAATTTATTTTTTTAATCTACTCAAATTAATTAACTAACTTTTATATTTAGAACCAAAGATAGTAATAATGATAAGTAGGCAAGTAGCAGATTGGTCATAATTTATGAGGCATAATAGATTAATTGAGCTGAGTAAGCAACCGAAACTATTAATCCGAGGTATTCTTGCAAGTCATTTATCGTTTTTAGATTACGTGTCTATTCGTTAATTTTGTCGGGTAAAAAAAATCCTCCAATATATATATAGAGGTCGCAAAAGCCGTTGGTTTTTATCCTCCAGGAAGACACAGAAAAAAAAAAAAAAAGTTTGGGAAGGAAATAAAATGTGAGAAGGCAAATCAGAGTTTTATAGAGGTAGAGGGAGGAATTGGTGGGAAATGGGCAGAGTAGAAAGTAGAAAAGAAGCACACAATCACACATGCAAGGAGAAGGAGCCCCCAGAAAACTTGACCAGCTCAACTGCCTTCACCTATCTCTCATTGCACCATCGCACAAACCATACTTCACTTTCTGAAACATCACTCTCTAAATTTTCAATGCCCATACCCCAAAAGAGGCGCCGTCTCTTCTGAACATCGCAGTCCCACATACCGCAGAAACGATCCGCCGCCCAAATCAACTTAATACTTACATGATCTGAATTCCGCCTACCCACCAGGGCATCCACATTTTTAATTCCAACACCTCAGATTACATAAGGTCTGGATAAATTCTAAATACGTAACCAACATTTTTTCCTCTTCAGGATCCCAAAAAGAAATTTCTCTAATCCCCCATCTTAATTCGGGTTCGCAATATGAAAACGCCAGATCATCACGAGCACGACAAGCGTTCTAAATATCCCCGAAAGAGATTTTCGATTTCCGTCAGGCTAAGTCATCAAATCCGCTGTTAGGTAACGCAGCACAGCTTTTTGAATGTTCTGTTTTATTTCCCTGTAGCACCTGCTCTTTTTCATCAGCGGTTGAAGTCTCTGCAGTACTTGAAAGATAATTCTTTGCAAATCAAAAGTGTGAAAAAACCAACAGTATATAATTTGGAATGCATGAAACAACGGCGTAATTATTATGAGCTTTCATGAATTGAAAATCAAAGAGAAACGGAAGCAAACAAAAATACAATCAACACAATTGAATCATGAAAAGGCCGTGATAGTGATAGCGATAGCGCGGGGGAGCCACAAGCCTCAACGTCCCAGCTGGCGCCGACAGAATCAGCAGAGGATTGGCGGGCATACTTACATTGTTCTCTGCCGCTCTTAAATATAAAACTTATTTATATTATAAAATAAGTTTTATATTTAGAGCTGAAAATATATACGGAGAGGATTATGTCGCCTCAATCTGAATTAGACATGCTTCAAACAGCCAGGCACTACTGGTAAACCGCGTACATAACTACTCGTCTGGTGAACTCAACCGGACACAGTCTTCAATTCGACAAAATGGGGGGAAATATTACCCAGCTTCACAATGCCATTTTAGTTCACTGTCATCGCTTTAAATCACATGCTTTGCAGCAGCTTAAACCACTACATCTCTCTCAGCCCCACGAACCAATACTTCCCAAATCAAGCATCCACAATCGTAAAGCCTGTTAAGAGATTTAAACGCCCAGAGCACAGGGCGATTCAATGGAAACGTTAACCTATGGCTGAGCCTTCTTTAGCATGCTACATTACAATATACTACTAAAACTCAGTTGCACTAATTAAATCGACTTTGACCACACATCAGAAAAGGCTGTCTGCGACTCTGCGTTGTAAAAGTCGGGCACTAAACTAAGGAAGCAAGGCAGACACACAAGTTAATACCTTGCTCAACTTGCATGCAGCCAAACATGGCGCTCTCACTATTCCAACTCCAAAAGAGTAACAACTAACAAGCTGCTTTTGCCCTCTGCAGAGTGTGAGCTATCGTCAAACAAGTTCTCCAGATGTTACCAAAAAAAAAAAAAAATCCTTGCATTCTCATATAAGGGATTAATATCAACTCTTAAATTAAGAGTTGATATTAATCCCCTATATACTTATATGTTTATTAATTTTTTTTCAAAATTAACCCTATTTTCTTAACAATAATTGAGAGTAAAAAATAAAATTAAGGAAGATACTTAAGAACCGAATGAGTAATTTAAATGTCTTACATCAGGCACAAGAGGAGTGATTTAAATGTCTTGCGCACAAAATATATTGACGCCCCGCAATAAAAATGAACCCCGCTTTATTCATAATTATGTTTCTCGATTTGTTCTGAAGCAAACTAAGTGTCAGGTCGCCAGTTTTCCCGTGAAAACGTTGAATTCAGTTCTGATAACCGCGCCTAAAACTGATGCAATAGGTCAAGTGTGCGTAACAATTAAAAACACAGGCTTATGATGTGCAAGTTGGTCACAGTCACAGACCAGATTATTAACAAGTTTGAAAATATTATGGGGTCAGAAAACTATACAACGCCCGAAAAATATGGGCCTCAACATCCGGTAGGGTCGCCTCTGTTCAGCTAGATCAGGTCAGTCTATAAAACATTGACACTGGGTTCAACATCGAATTAATACAGTAATAGTCCTCCCCTATCAGTTCCAAGATACCATGGCAGCTCAAAGGCACTAATACTAAATATCAGATCATCATAAACATATATATGTATCATGAGAATATTTGTAAACTATACTATTCAGAGATCAATACCAAGTTACGGTTGAGAGGGAAGAGTTGAGGGTAACAGATCCGTCCTAAAGAGACAAAGGCTTTTTCTTCCAGTACGACTGTATGAGTCGTCAACCTTCCTGAGAAGAACCAAGGAAGAATACCTAAGACCCGCATAGCAATGACACAGAACAGAAATTTACAAAGACGCGTTACTGGATGACGTGCAGGGAAAGAAAAAGATATGCTTTACCCTTGTTAAAACAGCTGCCATAATATATAATCTGAGACAATAAACTCCATACAAGCTTGCAGAACAGAAGAATTACCATCATTGAATATTGATCACCTCTATATGGAACTGATGTAAATTGCAATGCATGAAGTACATTTCAGAGCATGTACTCCTATGGTGATTGACGGCAAGCCCAAAGAAATTGAAATTGACAAGGGCTTGATCACATTAAAAGAAAAGGGAAAACATAAAAACCTGCTTACAAGGATGTATAATTTCAAATTACCGATAACTCTAACTTTCACAAATGGTTTACGAGAAAGACACATCAAACGTTTCTCTCAATGAATATTTCAAAGAAGACGGAGAAGTCAACTTGCTCAGGAAATGAGAAACAGGATCGCTCAAGTATCAAACCATTTCTCTAGTAATTATCATTATCACAACAGTTCAACATGCAGCTTGAGGTTTCAACAGCCTCTGGGCGTATGATAGCAGTCATGTAGTGTCTATAAAATTCAGCAAGCGCAACATCACAAGTGAATGTATCTAGCATTCACATGTGATCGGACGTAACAAGATGATGAACTGTTGAACACTACATTACACAGACACGAGCCTTGTTTTTTATGGTAGAGTATATATGACATAGTACACAAAGATTTCTCCAAGCAAAAGAGGCTTAGGATTCCTTAAGAATAAACAGAATGAAATTCGAATGTTAGAAACAATTTACATACATCAACAACCCATAGTAACGCCATGACCATCGCCAATTTCCCTAATTCCTCGCTTTTCAAATGAATGGATGGGGACAAATCAACTGTAAAAATAAATAAGCTTAAGAAAATCCACCTTAGTGGGATAAGGTTTTTGTTGCTGTTGTAAGAAAATGAAGTGCCCTGGGAAACGGAGCAAAGAAAACTGGATCGGCAAACCGTGATGTGAGGCGGATAGAATATATAAAAGTTACTTGGTACACAATGGAAACAAATCCCAGAAAAAACACAGGATGTTCAAGGGATAATATATGATCGCGACTAGCATATTTTAAAATAAGAAACATCTACTGGTAGATCTAGGCATGAGATATAATCCCTCGTTGAGGGTACCCTAACATACCATTACCAGACACACTAATATATTATCATGGCCATTCAAGAATGAGACTCAGCCCCGGAGGTCGCTTCGGTTGCCGGCGAAGGAGGAACTTCGGAAGAGGCCGGCTGAGAGGCAGAAGTGGATCTGGCCTTGACAGTGTCGAGCATCCGCTTGCTGATCTCCTTGGAATAGACTTGGAGGATCTCGATGCCGTCGTCCTCAGCGGAGGCAGAACCACCAGCGGCGGTGAAAGCCTCTTCCTCGATCTGGCGGGCGACGGAAGAGGCCTCGTCAGGAAGCATAGTGCCGTAGCGCTTGGAGAGGACGGAGGGCGTAGAGAGGGTTTCGATTAAGCGATTGACGACAGCATCACGGGTACGCTGGGTGGGAGGCCATATGCTGAATGAGATTCCGCCAGGTCTGTCGGGCTTGGCGGCAGCTTGGTCTTGATTGCCCTGCGACCGAGCCTCCGTGGAGCCTTGCTCCGGTGCGGAAGCTGTGTTTGTGATTTCTGAGTCGCTCATTTTTAAATCCCTGATTGGAGGAAATGAATTTCGTCCTCGCTTCCGGCCGAAAATGTAAAAACGGTGGGGAAACTGCGATACCTCCCGTCGAGTATAGGGTAAAAGGAATATCATAAAAAAAGATATATGAGTATTTAATAAAGGGAAAGAGAAGTGCGGGGAGAAAGGATCGGGTGCGACGTATTTGAATAGATGGAACTTGTAGGCGGGCGATCACAGGTGAATGGTTACCTTGAAAGCAAGATCAACGGTGAGACTGGCAGCGACTGACAACCTACCTTTTTCCCCACCTGTTCTACAACGGATCAGCTCCCAGAAACTTCTCGAATTATGATTACTTATTATTCCAGAAACAACACAATGAAAATGTAGCGGCAAACCGGTAATCGGGAATACGAAGTCACGGGAATTTATTACGGGGTTATTATTGATTAGAAGGCGATACAACGAATTAACGATTGTTTTTCCAAGCATAGGAGACTTACGATGTTAAGTAATTGATTTTTGTTGGATGAAGATGCTAGGTAATTAATTTTATTTGGGTGAAAATGTGAAGTACTTAAGTTGATTATGTTAGTAAAGATAAAAATCAGTTTAACATTTAATTTAATTTTAGATGTAAAATCCAATTCATTTATTATATTTATTTATTTTTTAAAGTGGCATGTAGTTGTTGCACATTTTAAATATTTTATCATATGATAGTTCTAACTAAGATACATGATTAGTAAAGATATTTTATAGAAAAACAACACTTATTTATTATAAATAATTAATTTAATAAATTTTTTTAATCAATTCAAAGTAGTCAAATATCCCTTATATTTTTATACAAAGCAGCCGAGGTAGTATATTATAATGAATATAAGCGTAAGACTACTTTGAATTAATATAAAAAAAGTCCCTCAAAATCGCAAAATGATTCTGGAGTCCCTAGAGACTTGTGTGTAATTAATTCTAATTGTGAAATTACCTACTTATCCCTGTTAATTTTATTGCAGCAATTCATTTACAATCTCAACAGTAGTTGTTAACAACCCGAGAAGACGTGATTGATAACCTCGGCAGTGCTCATGACAACTCACTCTGTGGAATGCCAGGGGCGTTGTTGAGGTTGTTAACCACCTCTTCTCGGGTTGTTAACAGCTACTGTTGAGGTTGTAAATAGGTTCAAATTAACAGGAGTAACTACGTAATTTCATAATTAGAATTAATTACACACAGGTTCCTGGGGACTTCAAAATCATTTCGCGATTTTGAGGGATCCTTTTGATATTAATTGTGCTCTATGGGACCTGAGTGTAATTTTTCCTTTTATATTTTATAGCGTTGTTTCAAACCTGTCAAAAAGATTGCTTTCGTTCCCCCCCATAACAGATAGTATTATTTTTCTTTATTAATCTATTTGCGTATATTTTTCTTTAATGATACTGCTTTTTTCCTCCAAATGTCAGGTCTTTTAATAAACTTCTGAAACGTGGATTTTTTTCATCGATTTTTCGTTTGTAATATCATTAATAACTTGTAAATAATCTGGATATTGTAACTTATAGTTGGCACCAAAAAAAAAATCACTGAAACAATAGAGTAAACAGTAGTAAGCCTTACCCCTTTTTTTTTTTTTTTTTTAATTTATAATGGGGAAAGTCAATCAATCAATATGCATAATCTAAATCCTTTCCACAGTGTATTTGATGTAGATGCGCAATTTTTCGTCGGAAAAAAAAAAAAGAAGAAGAAAAACATGGGCAATTTTTCAATTGTCCCACATCTTCATGCATTTCTACGCGGATGACAGCATGATTTAATTAGATTATGAGCTAGTATTGTTTTATCTGGAATATTATGCAAGACCATAATTTAGACGTTGTATTTACACTGGCGATGTATGCTTGCCTTGCCTTGATCATTTAAAAAGGTGGTTCCTTACTTTAACTTGTCCGTTGATGCCTCCTTATTCTCTAGCGTCCATATTGTAATCTCATATCCGCTGGGATGTTCGACCACAAAAAGAGGAAAAAGTCGAAAAGAAAAATGCAATGGAATCCACAAAAATACACGATATTTTAACTGGGAAGCTTTGCTCAATAGAGCACTAAATAGAAGCCCAATCAATTTTCATGCGCGGCATGGGGACAGATGGGCCAATTCTGGCTCGTGGCCTACCCATGACTGTCCTCAACAAATGGCGCGACGCGTTAATAGGTTCACGTGTGGGTATAGGTTCCAACCCGAGAACAGACCCGATTGGTTGGTGCTGTGAATTTAGCTGTTCATGAGCCCAGCCCAATAGCTCATTCACTGCGCCTCTTCCCTGTCCCAAACTGCAAACGCTCACCTCTGTTCGGAATCTGTGTTTCAACACACAGAAAGCATAGCTTGAACCACTGATCGACTGCGATGATCTCAATCACTTCTGCTGAGCTTAACTACCTCATCTTCCGCTATCTTCACGAATCAGGTTGATGTCCTTCTTTCCATATTTAATTAAATCCCCGTTTTGATAATCCAAGAATGCGACAGCTTATAACGAAGGCGTTGGGAGTTTTTCCTACTCTTTTTCCTCACCTTGTTATGTAAACATTTTTAGGGACAGAAAACTTCTAAGCAGCTATGGCTCCAGATAAAGAAACAATCGCTCCTCCGCTTAAATAAACCTCTTGCCGCACTTGTTTATGGATTCAGTCAATTTAATGAATATGTCTGGGACTTCTTCTTTTGTTTTCTTGAACAACTTCTCTTGCTTGATTTGTTTCTGCATGTAACTACTTAAGCCTACTATGGTGAAAGTTAATTCGTGCCGGCTCCCTCCTAGGTAGTATTTGTTCATTTCTTTTGATAGAAAGTGAAGTTTAACATCCGTGCGTTTTTCTTTAAGGAAAAAAAAAAAAAAGCTCTCTCACGTCTTTCTAAATGTTTGACTTGTGTCAGGTTTTACCCATTCAGCATTTGCTCTTGGCTATGAGGCAGGGATTGATAAAAGCAGAATTGATGGTAATTTAGTCCCACCAGGTGCTCTTGTAACATTCATACAGAAAGGAATTCAATATATTGAGCTGGAGGCGAACTTGAGTGGTGTAAGATTTTTAATTCTTGTTATATTTCGGTTCTGTATAACTTGCTGATTATGTGCTTAAGGACCTTAAGCTGATTGGTGTCTATGTTAGGTATATCCAGAGTGATGCAGACACAGATGACGATTTCTCATTTCTACAACCTCTTGACCTTATTACAAAGGATCCAAAAGAACTACACAATATGGTCAAAGCCAAAAGGGAAAATCTACGTCAGCATATGCTTGAAGCAAATAAGAAGGCGAATGATTTCAGTCAAGACACTGCAAGTGAACAAGCTCGGGAAATGGGCAAAGAGAGCAAGGAAAGGGAAAATGAACATGAAATTGATAAAACAAACCTAGAAAAAGAAGCAGAACAAGAAAAGGGTGAATATAAAGAAATACAGCATTCAGATCAAAATGATGCGGCGAGGGATGAAGATAAGATTGTAGCTGAAAATATAGAAAATGGAACCTGTGGAGGTGAATATACATAATTTTTTTCTTTCCCTGTTTATAGTTTGCTGTTAATTTTGATAGATAGCATCCTCGAAAGCAAGTAAAAATTTTTATGGCGTAGGACCTGAGCCAATGGAGATCTCCCAAAGCTTCACAGTTTTGCCTAGTGAGATTCCAACTTGTGAAGTAAAAATTTTGGAAGGTCATACCTCTGAGGTTTGGACTTATCTGTTTTATTTTCTAGTTGCTTCCCCACTGTAGTATGCCATGTTGAAAATCATTCTAATGCTGACAGGTTTTCGCTTGTGCATGGAATCCATCAGGCTCGCTTCTTGCATCTGGGTGAGTACAAGAAAATTTATAAACGAGACATAGCAAAAATGCTTCCTCACTGATGGTATTCATCCATTAATTAAATAATTCCATGCTGTTTTTTGAATAATAGAGTAGTTTGTTTTCATGATTTTGTTTCTGTTCATATAACGGTCCTTTTATTTTTTCTAATTTATCAAATTTAACTTTGTGTCCCACTCATTAGGCTCGTAACAGCTCGGTACACATTTGAGAATAATTTTAGCTATCCAGGACTTCAAATTTTTGTTTGTAAATCTGAGATATTAATTGATGTCATGAACTAGTTATAGCTCTCATATTCTGGATCTGGTTTTAGAAATTAAAATTACATGATAGTATGATTGCATAGAGCTGGTATGCGAGTAGAATCTTCAGTCATAATGTTGCGTAAAAGATGTTCTGAATTAAAATAGTTCAAAGACGAAACTGTACTATTGGTACCATTTTTTTCATGATTACTTAACGTCTTTTCTTGGGAATATTCATGTTAAGAAAATATTATAATGTTTTATTTGCATTTAGATCTGGAGATTCGACAGCTCGGATTTGGAAAATTACAGAAGGACCTATTAACACTAGCGTACAGAATGAACCAATAAATGTTGTGGTGCTAAGGCACTTTAAAGGAAGGACTAGTGAGAAAAGCAAGGATGTGACGACACTTGACTGGAATGTAAGTATATTTAACAGTATAGTGGTTTGCACACTCACAATTTACTTTTACATTTTTTTTTTTTAAAATCTTGCAATGGTAATTCTAGTCTTGATTTGTCTTGGGATGCTAATTCCGCCTCTTTTTCTGTCTCCCTCTTCTTATCCTAGCTGAAATGTTTCTACTATGCTTCTATTATGCAGGGGGATGGGACATTACTGGCAACTGGTTCTTATGATGGTCAGGCAAGAATATGGAGTAGAGATGGTAAGATTTTTCATACTATTGTACTGAAAATTTGTATGTCTTTCATGAATTGTCGCCTTCTTTAACTATGAATCTTGTTTTTCTTGTCCTCTATGACTCCATGTTATTGACTCATGTCTTGCTTGTGATATTATTTAGGAGACTTGAAGAGCACATTAAACAAGCATAAAGGTCCAATCTTCTCTTTGAAATGGAATAAGAAGGGGGATTATCTTCTTAGCGGCAGCGTTGATAAAACTGCTATTGTATGGGATATAAAGACTGGGGAATGGAAACAACAATTTGAATTTCACTCTGGTAAGTTGCCTTTTGCATATTTTTTGATTGAATAAAACTCGTCTTCCCTATAGCTGCCGCTGTAGTAATAATTATTCTGGAATCTTTTCAGCACCCACTCTTGATGTAGATTGGCGAAACAATGTTTCGTTTGCAACATGTTCCACAGATAACATGATATATGTTTGCAAAATTGGAGAGAATCGGCCCATCAAAACTTTCTCGGGGCATCAGGTATCTCCCTAGTCATTTAGTTCGCTCTGATATTTTTGTAATTTGTGTAATGACATTATGACCTTCCATCTTGATGTTTGTATTTATCATTGGTCATATGGGAAGTTCTTTCTCTGCATTAATTTTAACAAGAAATTCCAAATATCTTCTGTTTCAGGGTGAAGTTAATGCTATCAAATGGGATCCAACAGGCTCTTTTCTGGCTTCTTGCTCAGATGATCACACTGCCAAAGTACTCAACATGAAATATTTAAATTTGTCTGCTTAGTTGTCATATCACAAGCACACTAGGGTGGAGCATACATTTGCTTTATAAAAATTTGAGACCAATGGAAATAGCCTGATCTGGTGGAAGATAATTGGATGTTGTCACGAGACATCGATTATTATTATTATTATTTTTAATTGTGTTGATAGTCTCATAAGTTTAGATTTGCAAAGCACATTGCATCTCTGTGTGTGTGTGTGTGTGTGTGAGAGGGGGGGGGAGAGAGAGAGAGAGTACCTCCTTTGTAAGCCGTGATCAGATATTATGAAAATGTTCATGAGGAAGTGTAAACCTGAAACTGTGCTTTTAAGGATTTTAATTGACTAGTGAAATTACCATGCAGATTTGGAGTCTGAAGCAGGACAAGTATTTACATGATTTGAAGGAACATGTTAAGGTGTGTAAACATGTTGGCTGCTATCTAGTTTTTTTTCATGTTTTCGCTGAAAGCTCTTCTCAACGAAGTTATGGTCCCTTAGGAGATATATACCCTTCGGTGGAGTCCTACTGGCCCCGCTACATGCAATCCCAATCAGCCATTAGTTCTAGCAAGGTAAATCTGCTTCTATTCTAGTACGTGAGCTTGGCATTAAGGTGTGTGTGTATAAGTAGTTTCTTGTGAATGCTCTGTTTATTAATAGCCAACTGAATCTTATTGCTGGGACTATTTTCTTTTAAGCAGTGCCTCTTTTGACTCTACGATAAAGTTGTGGGATGTGGATCTGGGAAAAGTACTCTGCAGCTTAAATGGTCATAGGTACGTATGCTGGATCAAATCGCAACACAGCCCCACTCACCCTCGTGCATATGTAGGCACGAATGCATGGATACATTTATGCTAATACATACACTAAAATTGAATAAGATTTGTTCTGTTTTTACCTATTTTTATTAGGAGAATGCAGTGTTGTATTTATCATCTATGGAACTTGCTGAATTTCATATCACTAAGCCCTCAAATTTTTCAGCCCATCTATCTATTCATACTCCACATAAACTGTCGAAACGAAAATGTTTGAACAGGATAAGAAGACTTGTTTACAACTGGTGGGCATTGAAATAATAAAAAAGAATGGAGCCTGATTTTCACAGAGAAGGAAAAACAATATAAAACCATGAGAAATTCAGCCAGATTCTATTTGATACAAATTACAAAGTTCACCAATGTCTCCAGTTTAAAGACACCTTCAAATTAATTGGAAATGGTTAGTTTAGCAGAAATCAGAATTTGTTTCTTTTCTTGAAAATGATCAAGGTGGGCGTGCAATATTTTTACCGAATTGTGATATTCTGATGCTTGATGTTGCAACTCAGGGATCCTGTGTATTCCATTGCATTCAGCCCAAATGGTGAATATTTGGCAAGTGGCTCCATGGATAAATGCATGCATATATGGTCTTTGAAGGAGGGGAAAATTGTGAAAACATATACAGGAAACGGTGGGATCTTTGAAGTGAGTTGGAACAAAGATGGCGATAAAGTTGCTGCTTGTTTTTCAAACAACATAGTGTGTGTCTTGGATTTCCGAATGTAGTGCCCAGCTATTTATCATTTAATTATTACTACTTATAGCTTCTGCACAGCGCCATTGGCAACATTATTATTACTGGCCTTTGCCTTTCTGCTTGCGCTCGCCCAGGTCATTGGCAAGGAGAGATGGAAATGGAAGATGACACCCTCCGGAAATTGGCATAGCCGCACTGGACACAGCGCTTAGAGTTATTGTGCTGGGTGGTACGTGGCGAAGATGCATGCTTGTTCTAGGTTTGAGCTACCTTGTGGGAAATTAATCCAATGCCTGAAATTTCTTACTGTTCTGTAACACGTATTCCCTATCAATATCATTCCAAATATGAGTAGGTGCATATGTTTAGCCGAAATCATTCTTATTAATGTTTAACTGGCTATGCATATGCATGATAATGTGTAAGTTAATTCCTTTTAATCACTGTATTATCTTAAAATCACCAAGGCTTCTCAACAAGAGAACAATTTGAAATTTGTTTGTAAAACTTATGTAATAATGAATTGGAGGCTTATCTCTTCATTTACTTGGAAAAGAGGTACATACTAATAAAATACATCTTTCTTTCTTTTTTTGGGGGGGATTTACAACCTGAGTTGTAACGTAAGATTTCTAATATCACATCAAAACAACGTATCTTTTTCCTTTTTTTTGGAAAGATCAAATAATTTCTCAGTTCATGCTTCTCGGCGCCCACAAATTCTGCTGACTAGCAATGAGATAGCTTTTAGCTTTAAATAATCGATCCCCATAACCTAAATATGTGAAGTTGCAATGCTGCAAGTCAACCGAGCCTAATCCATAAAATGCCAATGGAATCTCATGAAACTAACGAGTGAAAAAGGCAAAGAAAAATACAAAGCTACCAGTCATTATCCACAAGGGAAGGAAGTAAGAGTAGGAGATAGCGTTCTGTACAAGTAAAGGTCAACCACTGACTGCTTGCTAAATAAGACATTTCGCTCATTGTAGATGAGAGCAATCAAGGGAGGAAATTGGTACTAGCTTTCTCCTATACACACAAATAAACCAACACCGACAGAATTTTCCCAAAGAATACTCTAAAACGCTTCACAAACTACAATCTAAGTCAGTTAGCATAATGGCTTGGCACTGCGGCAATCACTCCAATGATCATCATACTAAAAAATCCAACCTCCTGATGTTGAAAACTCGCCTCCCCAGCCTCCACCAACAGTTGAAAAACATCTGCCTAGTGATCTGTCTCTGTAACTTCAAAATAAGAAAGAGGTATCTCTGGAGGAGAAGGTGTTGTTGCAACACATTTGAACTGTTTTCAAAACAACCAATGCAGCAGGAATCAGACTAACTTCCCCAACGTTAAAAATTGGGATGACAAACTTCATTCATTTGTTTAATTTATGCCCATAGAAAAGAGGGTGGGAGAAGAAGGTAGGAATTAATTCAAAATCTTACCTTATGCTGTTTATATTTATCTCTTACAGCTAGCAAAGACCCGCATCTCCTACTGAGATACAAGTCATGAATGACCAATGCGCAGTCCTTCAAGTCAGATGATTTATACCCTGAGTGTAGATGGAGCGTGGAATTCTGTAAAAATTTATTATTTAGTAATTGACTCCAGAGTTGAAGTTAATGTTACAAGAGAAGGTTATAACACCGAGTTATTACCCAAGGATGAGTCTTTGGGCTTAACATAAACCTAGCAAGAAATACAACAGAGGCGGCCACCAAAGAAGGCAAGAACTTTACACAACCATAATCCAACAAACTGAGCTCCGCAAGGTAGTAAGTGAGGAATTCAAACTGGAGTTCAGAAGCCTGTATCATAAAAAATAGAGTGTTACGCTTGTGAACTTACCATACATGACATAGCCAACAGTGACAAATTGAGGCATTGTGTCAATGACAGACCGTCCTACCTCATAATTCTCCAGAGCAAATCTACAGAATCTTCTGCAGACACAGTAAAAATTCTAAGGTGAGCAACTGTACAACTAGGAAAATATTATTCAAAGCAATAGGAAACAAAATATCAGTCAAGCATTCATGCCTTAGAAATGTCTTTACTGTAGGATATCCCATTTCATATTTCAATGACTTGAGTATTTCAGCCTCCATGGTCACAACCTTTAGAATCAATATGGCCGTTACAAGTTAATAAAGACTAAAAAGAAAGTGAAATATGAGAAGCAGAATGAAAGACGAAAATCACCTCTTCCTTGGTGTATGTGTTGTCTGTAATATAACAAAACTCTTCCACCTCAGGAGGCTTGATCTCCTCATATTTCCTAGTGGCACAACGAAAAAGGAAAAATTAAGCAGTAAGACATGGAGATGATGATGATGATAAACAAAACTGTATCTCGATTTTAAGGAATGTGAAGCATTTAATCACTCACGAGGCGATTAGCATCGAAGAAACACCCAGTAACTGCAGCTTGTGCCTACTAAGAGCATTTATAGAGAGATATTTGTCGATATAAGCAACGGTGAGATAAAGAGTGTCTGAAACAAGCTTGTATTCCTCTGCAACTTCCACCAACCAATCTACCAGAACACCCCTCATATTAGGATTAATATCTCTCTGAACTTTTTTTATGTAATCAGGTAACGGTCTTCTTCTGGGATTCGCCTGACCCAAAAAGTTAAAATTATTGAAGTTAGGCCCTTTCAGAGAAATGGAAGCTCTTCACAGCCCGAGAGCTTTATGGCGGAATTTTCCAGAAATGCCAATAACCATAACGGGTAAAGAATCGAAATCCAAGTCATTGGCCTGAATTCGCAATTTAATTGGTCAAAAGAATTTGCATAAAGGCTGTTGTCAATTCCAAATCGTATATAATTCACCAAAAGCTTATGGTGATCATCCATAAAGCAAAATAACAGCGAAGTGAAGATGCTAAATATATATATCAGACCAAAAAAAACAAATCACTAGATTCAACCATTCACATGTTGAAGACCAGATAAAGAACTAGGTTAAAATATATCCTGATGTTGACTTCTAAATTTGACGTCGATCCCGGTATTAAAATCAAAATGAAATTAAAGCTTAACCTTTTAGTCTTCTCCTTATACACAAAAATAGTGACCGACATGTATAATTTCTAAGATTGTGATAACAACCCATAAAACTCAGTTAATAACTTATATACCAAATTAGGCGAGCGACAAATGAAGCCGCACCCTCTTACCTCCAATTTTCGGAGATACTCGTAAATATCAGAAACATAAGGCGCAGCCAATTGAGGGTCATCAGCGTCATTGAGGTTGGACGGCGGCGCCGCGGTTGTGGGGAGCACTTTCCTGAGTTTTCTCTTGATTCTGCTACTTTTCTCCCTCTGAATCTCTTCCCCAGGGCATGGTTTCTCTAGCACAACAACATTCGACAAGTTGGTCAGCTCTCCCAACACCACGCGCCTCTTGGTGGCAACATGCAGTTCAGCAATGGCGGCGGCGGCCCTTTTCTTGGCTGCTCGAGTGGCCCTCCCGCGATTCTCTTGATCGGACATGGGGGGGAGAATGAGTTTCAAGATTGAAGAGAAAGAAAGGAGGAAAAAAACGAGAAGAGATAAATGTTGGGAGGACTAGTGAGAGCGTATGGTTTTTGAAAGTTTTGCAGGGATTTTTGTTCCCGCTTCCACAGGCATTTCAGATTTCAGCCCAGGGGGAACCAGAAAGCTTTTAACTTTTAACCAAAACTCATCGCAGCCCCGCGATACCCGACTCCCAGGGTCTGTAAGAGAGAGAAAAATGAGAGACGCCCAAAAAAAAAAAGTCAAACTAATTGATTACTGAGATTGCGTTCTGATCCCCCGTTTTCCTTCCTCCTGCTTTCTCCACTTGCGTTTTCCCTTCCCTCCTTTTCTAGAGGTAATATTTCATTATTCATAGAACGCGGGATTTCCGAAAAGTAAAGTGTGCCAAATTTTCACATAACAACACTTTGTCGGCTTACTGAAATTGATTTTTTTTTTTAATCACTTGCTGAAAAGTGGAAATTGCCGTGTATGAAATGAAAACTAAACACGACCGCGAAAGTGGGTCCTCAGCTGCATTGAACTGATTTCGCTGGGGTGCTTCACCTTTTACCAAGAGAATTTATCTGAAGCAAATAGATGCCACAACCTGCAAAAAATTTACAATTAAAAATTGTTGTAATATTGAATAATCAATTATTCTTGGTTAAAAAATATTTGATCAAAGTAATTTTCCGGTTCTTAATATAAGACTTATTTAACTAATTTGATTAGATTAAGAAAGTTAGATAAGTTAGCTAATTATAAGAAACATGACATGTTTTTCCTGAAATACCATGATCATCTTTTTTAATATTCTCTTTCCCTCTTCTATTTGATTATGGTTGAGGAAGTATCTATATGGATAATTTAAGAAAAATTGATAAATATGAGAAATAGGTCTTATATTTAAGACCAAAATTAACTCAATAATTAGGTCATATATTAAGGACCGGAGGAGTATTAGGATTAAAATGAATTTGACCTCACCAACTAAGTAGGCTCTAATGGAAAGAACTAGTCATTCACAATATAAGAAATTAAAAGCATGAATCCACGTAAAATGTCTCATTTTTGGGATTTTGGATTATTGTATGTCCCGATAATATTATTGATGTATTTGAAAATTTTTAAATGGAGAATTACTATTTTTCATTTACTTCCGATCCTAATTATAAGATCCACTTGACTAACTTGGAGAAATTAAGAAATTTAGTTAAGTTAATCATTTGTAATGAATAAATATTATTTTTCCTAAAATATCCTTACTAATCAAGTTTGTTATCTAAAACTACTATTGTTAGAATGATTACTTTGGAAAAAATATAAAAATATGAGAAACAAAGTGGATTAGGGTCTTATATTTAAAATCAAAATAAAAATCAAATAAAGTCTTATATTAAGGATCAGATGTAATATTATAGAAATTTTTCGAAACCCCAGCATAAAAAATAAAACGTTGTAATCACACAACACAACAAATAATCAACCAATATTTCTTTAAAACCCCACGCACGATAAAAATGATAACACAAATAATAGATGAGAAATCAATACACCCATTAAGCAGGCATGTCTTGTTAATAAAATAAAGGGAAAAGTGATAAAGAATCCCCTTTTAAGATGACTAACCTGTAATATTTTTCATAATTGTCTTGGTTTTTTAACTCTCAAATTTGATAATGACTTCCCATGGAATCTAATGAATGCTTGCACCCAAATTCAAAGACATCATTATTGATCTTAAGATCCAAAGCCCTTTGCAAAGACTCCCTCAAAATGAAAGTTTCAGTCATAAATGCCAATATAGTTCTACTTATGACATCCAAATTACCCACCTTTTCCAGTAATAGAAGGACTGTCTATCCATCACTGCCGAGTTTTTCTCCCTTTTCCCCCACGGAGACTAATGTCATGACTTAACTTTTTTTTTTTTTTTAATTTTTATCACGACTTAACTTACTTTACTAAGATCAACATAATGATCTATTCACCTGAGAAAAGCTACAGGTCTTCCAAAAGTCCATAAAACTAGCCCAATAGCTTTTTCCCAGCAGGTGCAGTTGCCTCTGATTCTATAGATGGCCCAAACACATTTCAAACCCAGAAGAGCCGCCGACAATGTTACTGAACGACCTCTCGACCAAGTGAATTGACATTGTAATCTTTAGAAGTTACACAAGCAAGAACGAGAATGTAAAAGGCGAATAATACCTTCGACCACAGAACACAAATTAAACCATTTTGTGACCAAATTTTACAAATGAGTCATTTTGATCCTCAGTTCATACAATGTTTCTTCGCATAAAGTCAACACTTGTGTCCCCAGTCACAAATTATGAAATTTTACTTGAAAGCATACTTATCTAAAGTTAGAATTTCAGTCTTGCTTTGTTGCGATATGATTTGGGAATTCTTACAAAATACCAAGAAATATTGTCAGGGGAAAAATAGGCGAATGGCCAGAATAAAGAACATAAAAGATTGAATTTGGGATAACCGCATGAAAGCTGAAAGAAAGTGACGGTCGCAATGAAGACCCTATTTATGAAGGCTATTCTTCGTTTAAATTCCTTCCTTTATTATTAATTTACGGTAAAAAAATAAATGAGAGGAAATCCATCCATCAAACTTCATATCAAAATTCCTCAGGTGAAGGGCGTCAATTTCCGGGACTTGGCTTGACAGTGCCATTTTACATGTTGAAAATCATCAAAGCAGATGGCAATCAGCATTGTATGTGCGGGAGACCAGTTCTTGACCACTGTACAGGATTAACAAAAAAGCCCCCTCCTGTATTGCACAAACGGAGATGAAGATCCATTTCCTCCCTTGCAAAGATATCAGCTACTATTAATGGCGTTATAGGTCATCGGTTAGTTAGACAACCCCCAACTGAGCAAGAAAACACCAAGATCGTGTTAGTCAAAAATCATGGTCTCCACTCTCCGCTTATTTGACGTTGGAACAGATCCTGGTAGTGCTATACCTTGATTGACATGTGCCATTATACTTCTTCAAAGTAAGAAATTGGTATCTCCGGAGAAGATGGCAGCATCGCCACGTATTTAAACTGTTCGTATAAATGATGTTAGCTCACTCCTTAAGGGGGAAAGCAAGATAATCCAATGAAAAGGGATAAAATGAAAGATCTACCTTGTGCTGTTTGTATTTCTCCCGTATAGCTTGCAAAGATCCTCCCCTTCTTGCCAAGTACAAGTCGTGTAAGATAAGCACACAATCATTCAACTCAGCTGGTTTATATCCCGAGCATTCTTGCAGGGATGAATTCTGTCACATGTAATTCAATTGATGAATGCCTCATAATTCAGTCTTCCAGATCCTTCGTTTTTTTTTTTTTTTTTGAATCTGAGCTAAATTATGATCCTGATGATCAAATACTTACCCAGGGATGCACCTTAGGCCGGATGGTGAAGTTGGCCAGAAATACGACTGAAGCAGCCACCATAGAAGGTAAAAATTTAATACAGTTGTAATCCAACAAACTTAGCTCGGCCAGATAGCAGCAAAGGAACTCAAACAGCAGATTTGGGGTCTGAAACAAGAGTGCCAACAATCAGCCAACTTCGCAAAGTTTTTCAAATGCGACAAAAGCAGAGGGATATTAGTTTAACTTACTTTCTGATTTTCGGATGTAATGCCAGTAAATTTCCTGTACCAACAATCATAGGCACACAATCAGATCAATGTCATCCAGTCGGAATTAAGAAGCTACTTAAACAATACAATTCAGAAATTTTCAGTGCATTCTTGCCTTAGAAACGTCTTCACAGTGGGGCTACCCATCTCAAAATTTAGAGACTTGAGTATAGCAGCCTCCATTTCAACAACCTGAATCATTAACAGCAAGCAGGGGAACAAAGGTGAGGGTTCGATCGACAATAAAAAATAATCGGACCACCAGTTCGCAGAGAGCAACTAATGCTGACTGAAAATCTAGTGTAGATTACCTCTGCCTTCCTGTATGTATTATCGGTGATGTAGCAAAACTCTTCTACATGCGGAGGGCTGATTTCTTCGTACTTCCTACATATTAGGATGAGATGGAATTATAATGCTAATCCGGAGTAAGAGAACAGCACTCTCAGAAATACAAGCAGTTTGTGAAGTCTTACGATGCAATGAACATCGATGCAACACCCAGCAACTGAAGCCTCTGTCTTGTGACTTGGTTGGTAGAGAGGAAGCGATCAATGTAGGAAACAGAGAGGTAAAGAGTGTCAGAGAGAAGCTTGTACTCCTCTGCAACTTCTACTAGCCAATCGACCAGTATTCCCCTCATGTTGGCGGTGACATCTTTCTGAACTTTCTCTAGGTAATCAGGCCTTGGTCTTCTCTTTGGCTCCATCTGAGAAATAAGCAATCGGAAGAGTTGGTTAACATTGAAACAGTCATATGATCAGATGAAAATTGAGATATCAAAGAAATATATGACGAATGCATCATATCCCGTTATGCCAGTCTGTATCAGAGATGACCAGTTCTCATGAATCGTCCATTAGTAATGACTCAATCCCCGAATCGCAAGCAATAAACTTGATTCCGCTTACGAAGCCCAGGCAACAAGGAGACCAAGATTTACCTCCATTTTGCGAAGGTACTGATAAATGTCCGAAATATAAGGCTCGCTATTTTGCAAATCATCCAAATTCGCATCGGTGCCTGACTTGGCATCAGTGCGAACTGCCTGTACGACGTCCGACTTGGGATCCCCCGAAGAGAAGCTGCTCTTCGTCGTCGCGGCTTTCTTGGCCCTCGTATTCCTTCGATATTTCGGTTTCTGTGGCTCCAACCCCGGATTCGAATTCACAGGATCAACAAGGTTGGATAAGTTAGGAAGTTCCCCCAAGACCACTCGCTTTCTTTTAGGTGATCGGTTCTGGGCTAAGGCGGCGGCCTCTGCTCTTCTCTTTGCGGCGCGAGTCTCCATCTCCTTATGCTCCTGCAGGTAAGTCTGAGATGGAACAGAGGGGAGAGGGATGGAGACGAAAGGGAAGAAGAGGCAAATGTGGGGATGAGGAGGCGAAGGAGCGAAATAGTTTTATAGAATAAGATTTAGAAAGCAGGAAGAGCGCCATGCCTGGTTTGTAAATTTGTTTTGAAAAGAGAGCAAAACGAAAATGGTTTGGAATGCCGCTATAGCGAGAGGGTCGAAAATTTGAGGATTTGAGTTTTGGTGAAATTGGCTGCTTTCAAAATTCGGAAGTTGTGTGCTTTTGTTCGCTTTGGTGTTTTTCATGTGGCGGGCTCCATTTGCGCGCGCTATTCTACCCTCATTTCACTGCCCAGCCAATTTTTCTCAAAACGCTGCGTTAAGGCCTTAGGACGGGGAGTAGTCCCAATTAATATAAAATCTCACTCAAACGAATTAAATATAAATTTTTTAAAATTATCAAATTATTCTAAAATCTCAAAAAACTCACTATAAAATATTTTGTTTGTTTAATTAACAAATTGTTCTTTTTTTTTAAAGTATGCATTGACGATTGAAAGAGCATTCGTTAATAACTTAAGATGTAACGATTAACAGCTATTGTGACATGTATTAACAATATATTTTCTCAGCGCATCACAAAGATTTAATGTATAAATTGTCAATAATTACCATAATAATTGTTAATCGTTACACCTTAAATTGTTAACGACTGTACTTTCAGTTATCAATGTATACTTTAAAAAAAAAGATAAAAGTAATTTGATAATTAAACTAATATAATCTCTTGCAATAAGATTTTTTGAGACTTCAAAATAATTTTTTATTTTAAGATATTTTTTTGTATTTAATTGTCTTGTACTTATTGCAATTTTTTTAATTAATAATTCCACAAAAGTAGCAGACCCCATTGCCATGCCATGCAACAAAACAAGTACTACTAGCTTCTCTCATAATTCTATTTATAAATTACTTCTAATATGTTTCATATAAATTAAGAAAAATCTTAAACTTCATTAACTTTTATTTAAAATTCAACAACTTTTCAACTTCATCCATATTTAATATACACTATACCTCGTGAAAATAAAGTCAATATAATAATAAATGACAGGTAAAATTACATGCATATAAAAAAATTCTCTCTATACCCTATATAAGACTAAAAAATATTTTTTATCTCTCCCCCGTCTGAAACTATCATGTTCAAGCTGCCATTTTTCAGAGTAATGAATTTAGAATTAAGAAATAAGATAAATAAAAACTTTAAAATAAACTCAATATACGCTCACAAATTTTAATCTCGATTTTTAGTAAAAAAATCCGATTTTCCAAAACACTTCCGTCTCGCGGATTTATTTATTTATTTATTGGGAGAGGGGAGATTGATTCCATGTCCAAAAATGGATTTCATCTTTGTTTTAAGCTTTGATATACGGTTTTCATGCAGCTATTGCCCACAAAATTGTAAATAGCAGAGTGTGATAATGGTTTGTATTTTGTTTTTGTACTTATTAAATATGTACTACCTCTGACTCTAATTATAAGATATCATTTGTAGTTTATAAATAAGATTTTATAATTGAAACTAAAGATAGTATTGATTTTTAAACTGTTCCATCAATTCAGTATCAACATAAAAATAAAAGTTCATAACAAATTATATCATTCACAAATTAGTAACGGTGTGGCTTATTTCAGGATATGATTCTAATTACTGCAAGGAAAAATGCAAAGCCCTCTCTCTGTTTTTTTCCCCCCAAACCAGCAAGCACAGGTGACATTTAATCCTATGATACGTATATACAAGAAATCACATGTCGCAGTGTTATCTCCGTCACGGAACTATATAGTGGTCATTCTAAATTATGGACCACTGAACCACGATATTCATTGGACCCTGAGCTCTATATATAGCAGTGAAGTTATAAGAACGAAATGCCGAACTCTCAACTAGAAGACGAAATGCATGCATGGCAAATTGTTGAACAACAAGGCCACTGAATAACAATGAGAAACAGCGATGAAAATCATATTGGAAGTCCAGATGTTATACATCCTGATTAACTATATCGCAAAAAAGTTCAGATGTGCATTCCCGAAACCAAGGCTGAAGGCAACAACATCGCATATCATGCTTGACGATAATGGCGATCCCGTATTAAGATGTTTGATGGGTTCAAATGAGAAAAGCACAGTTCCAGAAACTGTCCTTCACTTATCCGTCCCGCCACTGGAAATGATCCACCTCCTGCTCACAGTTCATAATATAATCAATAGACAGCATCCATGCTAAGCAACAATATATAATGGCTTCGTAAAAACAATACAATGGTCTGATCACTGGGCAGTGATTAAGCACCTGGAGGTTGAAGTACTGGTCCCCAAGGGACAGAGTTGATATCAGTAACTTGTCCAAAATCATCCTGGTTTAAACCGTATCCGGGACTCGAGTGACTTTGGGCATGCATCAGAGTTGAAGTTGGCGATAACAAATCAACCACGGCATTTCTTTGTGATTGTTGATTATCTCTGAGAGTGAAATAAACAAGACATCAAACGTTTGCACACACCTAACCAGGTAAATGGCAAAGGCGTATCGATCCTTGCTTCCTGTTCAAAATAATTAAGATACCCGAAAGGAAGAAAGCCATCGGCATAATCCGTAAAGTTCAGGTTCTGAACCTGCGGATCCCCGGGCGGAAGCCAATCCCCCGTGTTCTTCAGGCTTCCGTTACCAAATCCATGGGCATCTATGGGTTTCGCAAGATGCACCTGATCGATCATGAAGTTATTTTCTACGTGAAATGGTCATTAACTTATATACAGCTGATTATTAGTTTTTTTCATGAGACGGGAGGTGTTTCATCCGTTTGTATACCTGAGGAGCTGCAGCTGCTTGTGAAATATACTCTTCCTCCAGAGCTTGCTGTTCAAACATAATTTGTTTCAGGCCCAATATTCACCCACACGCACGCAAGTAGAGAAGATTCCATTATATTATTGTCGCTGGTGATTTATTTAGGCCACAAAGGAAAACTTACTTTTCGCAGGTGCACTTGTTTTAGAGTTTCCAGGAGTACATTCTCGCGATATTCAGCCTCGTACAGTGTCGTGATTTCAGAAGGGTCTCCTTCGAATATCCTACAAAGTAAGATAATTAGCGATCTAGCTAATCGATGATCGGAGGCAAATGGGGTGAAAGTTTAAGCCAGCTCGGGTACCTTAGCCTCTTCTCCATCTCTTTCAATCGAGACTTGCAAATAAAAATCTCCCTTTTAATACCCTAAGTTTTAATAAAGTTGATCAGTAAATTAGTCCGAACAATGGATACATGAAGTATAAGACAACATTAATGTTCGTAGATGAGTATATACATACCTCAATCTGGGTATCTGCAATCATCGGGCTGCCTCGCAGTCAAATTACAGTTCAGTTTAGATACAACTAGTTTCTCGTGGTAATATATATGGGAGTTAACCAATATATAAAATCGAAATTTAGCAATCAGTGGCAGCGGAGCACAGATCGCAAAAGAGCTTTATATACAAACCTAGGGACTCGGTATATCTCATCAGCTTCGGCTTTCAGCTTAGTAAGAACCTTCTGAATATGCTGCAGATGGACAAGATTAAAATTGATCATTTCAGAAGTAGCCAATAAAAAATGGTGGTGTCCAGTTTAACATGTAATCATATGCATGGGGTAGGCCCATTACCTCTTGATTTTGCACCCTTCAGAATCCCACGGTTGCAAGAAAACCCAAAAGAAAGCAGAGCCACATAAACGCCAGGAAAAAGAATAATCTTGAAATTATATATATAGGACACGGAAACACAAGATTATCTCGGATAAATCAGGGGATGAGCACAGGAACCAGAGTCATACCTAACCCGTTCTTGTTCAGGAAGATTAAGGTATCGTTCAAAAATTTCTTCAATGCTTCAAGATATAGACAAAGGAAAAGTTATACGAGTTTATCAAATACGTACATTTTCTTATAAAGAACATTGGGAATATGATTAGAGAATGAATGGTGATTAAGTAGAGTTTCGATTAATGTTGATGGATAGCGGCCGGAGTAGAAAATGGTGGTGGTATGATAAAGGGCACATGTCGAAAGGTAGCTGACCTTTTCCCCCCTGAGAAGAGACTTGCCTTGCCGGACGGAGAAAACATGACCAGAGCCACATCAACGTCACAAAGTACAGAAAGTTCATAAGCTTTCTTGATGAGTCCATTTCTCCTCTTTGAGAAGGTGACCTGTCTATTTGTTGCGTTCTCGATCTTCTTGATCTGAAGCTTCACTCTTCCCATATTTCACCCAGTGAACTTCGAATTCTGGCCCTTTTCTCTCTTTTATTGAAAAATCGTATTTAAAAGCCAGTCTGCGCAATCTGATTCTGTGAATTGCAAGACGGGTAGGGGCCAAATATATTACACAGGAAACTAAGCAAATATCGTTACCCTCACGAGCTCCTCGCAAAATATATCCACAGAAAGAGAGAAACGGAACCGGAACTTAGGCGGCGACTAGAGAAGAAAACAAGGAAAAGGGAAGAAATATCGGGGAGGGCTTTTTGTCTGTGTCAGGCTATTCAGACAAGGTGACGACTGATGAGAGAAGGAGGGAGGGCGGGAAGGATGGCGGTTTGTGGAGGGATATATAACTTGAGAATTAATCTGGGAAAGGTGGGTGGGTCTCCCCGATGCAGTAAAATGTTTTTTGACATGCATGAGACAGGATTTACAATCACCACACTGTCAGCCACTGTATGAAAGTTTGTCATGCATATACACAGCGCAAACTCCTCATCAAATAAACATTAATAAATATATTTCCTGCATTTTTCATTTTGCTGCAGGCTCGTCAAATGAACGTTATATAATCTGAAATTTGGAGTCCGCTTCAGAAAGATGGGATGATCAGTAGGTAGCATGGAAAATATTACAACATGTCCAGGATCAAAGAAGAGTTGTTTATAGAAAGTTGGGGTTGTCGAGCTTTTAAGTACGGGATTTTAGCCAAGAGTGGCGTGGTGGACGAGGACGATTTCACTGCCACGCACACAGACCCTGAGCAGTAATAACAGTGTCGGAATGGATTGCCACGTATTCTTCAGTTCATGTTTTCTTCGAATCCGACAGTGGTTATAGCCTAACCACCACCTTGCACAAGTCCCTGAGCTGGTGACCTCGATTCCAATTTGTCATCTCCTTCAACCCACAGGCCCTGCCCGTTTGTTTATTATCTCTGGTCTTTAGTATAAGAGTTTGTTGAATAATTTAAATATATTACAAAAATTAATTAAATTAGTTATTTATGATAAATAAGTAGTATCTTTCATAAAATATCTTTACTAATCAAGTATGTTAGTTAGAACTAGCGTTGTTATAAGAACTAACTTAAAAAAAAAAACATAAGAGACAAAATAGATTGACATCTTATATTTAAGACCAAGATAAAAATTAAATAAGTTTTTATATTAAGAACCAGAGACAGTATTTTGTATGCTTTTTCTTTTGTTTTATGGGTCAAATATTCTAACTCCGATTTTAAATATCAAATATTTTAACTCTAATTCTAAATATAAAAGTTAGGAATTGAAAATAGGCTATGTTGAATTAGGCTTTAATTAAAGAAGCCTGAATCTGCAACATATATCTAAAGCCTAAACCTGGGCAGCCTGCATATAGGCCTTTTTTAGGCCTAAGCCTGAATTTTAAAAGGGCCTGACAAAACCTGAAGCTTGTTTAAAGGCCTGCTAAAATGTAGGCATTTAAATCGGTTTGAAAATCTATGCTACCAAGTTCATACGCAACTCTTCAAACCTATTTAAAAACCCATGTCATATATATCTTAAAAGTCTAGAATCTATTCTCACTTGCAATATAAGAGACTAGCCAAAAAAAAAGGGAAAAGAATCCATAGTAACAACAATTTTCGGATCAAGTAGAAATAAGAAAAATCAATCATCTGTTGACTAAATAAATATATTTTCTAAAATTAATCAAGCACAACAACTAGCGTGCAGAACTGAATTTTACTTCGTTTGGTTTTCTTGCATAAGTTGGGCAAACTCTCTCCAGTGATGTTATAATATTTAATCTAGGCATCACTAAAATAAACTCACAACAATTGTTATGTTTTAGCAAACAACGAGAATTAGGGCAGAGGAAGTGAGCTAACATTGCCATACCGAGTAATCGAAAAAAGAGAGACAGAGGTGAGTGACTGATGAATGAAAATGGGCTTTGATCTTATGTAGGAATGCTGTGATGTGAAACTTAGTATCAAACTAAAGTTTGTAATTTTATAAATATTTTATAAAATTAATTTATATTATATAATATACAATAACACATTTAAAAAAAAAAAACTAAATTGGCCGGTAGGCTTGCAGGCTAAACTTCATGAAAACAGGCCCGGTCCATTTGCTTAGATAGGCCTAGAAATAGGCATGAAGACAGCATGATCTATTTACTAAATAGGCTGGGCTATGCTTTAGGTAAGTTAGGCTGTAAGCCTCTAATCTATTTTCACTCCTAATAAAAGTTAAATGGATATTCAAATTATAAATATAATATCTCAATTCACTTGGTCTGCTATGTCTATTTATTTTTTTCTATAGGATAATTTACACGATAATTACTCGTGCTAAAGATTTTCATTCTATTATACATAATTAGCCAGCATATTTCAGGACAGACAATACACATTCATTACAAATAATTAATTTAACTAAATTTTTCTAATATTTACAAATTAGTTACTTATCTCTCATATTAAGCATCAAAAGTTGTAATAATTTGTCTGCTTCCTGCAATTTGTTCATTTGTCACGACATTCTTTTATTATTGTTAGGCCTCTTTCGCTGATGATTTAAACTAGTACAATATATGATGTGTGATCCGACTTTTATGACTTCCTTGTATAAAATAAGATGAGGAAATAATATATTCATTGTTTACATCATGAAAGACATTGTTTTTCGGCATAATTAAATGCTCAGAGGGCAAGTTTGAGCTCTAGCCCAGAAATATTTAGAAAAGATTGATTATCAGTGTTTTTTCAGGAGAAAAAGAAACAATGACTTCTTAATCCCCGGGTCCGTGGGGAGCTTCCAAAGGTTCCTAACGAGGCTATAGCAAAAATTGAACCAGGGAAATGGATATATGTAGTGACTAGTAAGAGTTCTTTTTATCTGCTCATTTCTGTCATAAATATATAATATAATTAGGGAATTTATTTTTATCCCGAGTACAAGACTTTATTTTTATAATTTTTTTAACGTGTTCCTATTGACTTAATTTATTCTTTAAAAAAAATTAAAAGAGACTTTTCTCAAATGTTTTTCTATCTAAGATGATAATTATTTTAGAACAGGGGATTATTATACATGATCACAGCCACAGGCTTTGGTCCATTGTATTTTTCTCTTAAACGAAATGAGGCACGATTTCTTGTTCTGGCTTCCCACGGTTATTTCATATTCATTACGTTGATGAGAATTCAAGAAGCATAAACAAGAGATTAGCAACGATGCGTGCTCTCAACCAAAAAAATAAAAAACAAATAAAAATGAAGCATCGTCACCGCATGTTGATGTAGGATTAACGGACCAACGCGCGTCGGTGCGTGAACTTTTTGGAGAAAGAAGTGAAATGATTAACTAATGAAGCCTCCCGTAGTTTCAGTCGAATCGGAATCGTGTAATAAATAATGCATTAACATTCTTATTCTTATTCGGGGCGGCAAAACAAAAAGCGCAAACACTTCTCCCCGGGAGGGGGGAGGGGAATCTGCAAATTGAAAAATTAATCACGTACTCTGAACGTGTCACTCTGTTATTGGACTTATTGGTATTTAATTCCGGTTTCCATTTCTTTGCCCACTGGATTGCGTTGCTATGTTATAATTTACAAATATTAAATAGACCAATGCACGTCGGAATGAAGCCATTTCCTTTTGGCTGGACGAAGCTCGGATTCAACGGAAGCCGACCCGTTGATGCGCAGAGCTCGCTCTATATTCTTAGTTTTCATCCTGTCGATGTCGAAATTCTTGAATTGAACAAAACGATAATCTTAAAACGCCTTTGATTCGGACTGTTCCGGTGCTTAACAATTATGAGTGCTCAGTCGCCGGAAGACGATAGAAACCAGGAAGAGAGCCGTCTACTAGAGCCCCAAAATGAGTCTCAGCCATCTTCATTGGACGGCCAAGAGGTCGCATATGAAGCAGGGGAGAAGATCCTTGTCTTCAATCTAGACTCCTTTGACGAGGATTCAGCGACCGGGCCGTCTTTCTCGTGGAAAAAACTGTGGCTATTCACTGGTCCTGGATTCTTGATGAGCATAGCTTTTCTGGATCCAGGAAATCTCGAAGGGGATCTACAAGCTGGGGCCATTGCCGGCTACTCCCTGCTCTGGCTACTAATGTGGGCCACTATTATGGGTTTACTTATACAGCTTTTATCAGCCAGGATTGGGGTGGCTACGGGTCGGGACCTGGCAGAATTGTGCAAGGAGGAATATCCCAAATGGGCTCGGCTGGTGCTCTGGCTCATGGCGGAGATTGCCTTGATTGGTGCTGATATTCAGGAGGTCATTGGCAGTGCAATCGCCATCCAAATTCTTAGCCACGGCGTATTGCCGCTCTGGGCCGGAGTCTTAATTACTGCTTCGGATTGGTAGGCACTTCCGTCTCTTATTCTTGTCGCTCAAAATCTTATCTTCTTGCGTCTCCAACTCTCAGAATGTGTCACCTTTTTTGCCCGTTTTCAATTTACTCACCTACCTCATTGCATTGCTAGGTTCGTTGCTCTTTAATCATGCATGTCTTAACTAAGTGTCCGGCTTCCAAGTTTTTGAATGAATCTTTCGACTGCAATCTCTGTCCGACTTTTAAAATGTTGATACATTGATATTTTAAGTTATCATCACACGGTGTAACGTTTTAATGGTTTGAACCTCACACTACCTGATTTTAGTTTTTAAAACAAGGTACCAAAGTGGAATTAGGCTCAAACACGATGTAACAAACTGTATTTTACCCTTAATGAGAAGTGAGACTTAAATTGAGGTGAAAGCATGAAGCTAGGCATATCACCAATACAGAGCAATGATCCACACCTATATATAGTTAACATCTTCGTGGAGGATCTTAGAGTCGTCATTGCAATTGGAAGTAATGAATTGGATTTCTCTTAGATAGGGAATATTTCTTTAAGTTGGAGGATAGAGGCACAGCATCGTTGCTTATGTTAACCGCTTATTTACTAAAATGTAGCGGTTAAAGTTTCAATAAATTTACTTGAAAAGTAAAACTATTCCACTGGCATCAACAACAATCAATTCTTTTCCAAGGACAACATTCAGTTGCTATTCTCTTACAATGAAATGGAAACTACTGGTCGTAGGATCAAATTTAGTTGAAGAACATGCGCACCATTTTTCACGACCAAAACATTAAAAAGATATGCAAATGATCTCCATTTCATTTCATGGTTATTGACTTATTGTAATAGTTCAGAATTAAAAAGATACGCAAATGATCTCCATTTCACTTCGTGGTTATTGACTTATTGTAATGGTTCAAAACTTTTGGGCATGGCTAGAATCTAGATGCCACATTTATGGAAAATTAAGCAACTGATTTTTACATGTCTCTAGATATTAATCTTAAGTTCATAGTCAAAATGCAAGCTTTTCTGCTCAAAACTGCATTATTATTTTTTTGTTCCCCAAAAAACTTCTACAACATTTCGCCTGCATTTGAATTGAATGTTCACTACTGGTTTTACGTTTTTTCGCCCCTTCAAATTATGCTTGCTTTTTAAAACCTCAGTGTCTTTTTCCACGCTCTCTTTATTGGGCCTCTGCATAGTAACTCAAGTGGGAACCGCATGTCCCATGCTTTAACTCACCTGGATATTGAATCTTGAACCTCTCCACGCCTGAATAGTGAATCTTGAACCTCTCCAGCAATTCCAAAAGTTTATTGGTTTAATGGAAACCGTTAACCTGAAATGTCAGGTTTATTTTGCGATTGATTTAGTCAGAGAACCATGTTTTTATCTTATCATTATTCCTACTCTTGACATTTACAGGTCTCATCTCCTGGTTTCTTTTCTTTTCTTTGTTCTTTCTTCCTGGCTCTGGTTTATTATTGTGTCTGTATTAGTTGTTTGGAATCTTCCCACTTTTCATGCCTTACTCTGGTTTACTCTGCTGTTAAGCAGTTTCATCCTTCTATTTCTTGAGAACTATGGAGTGAGGAAGTTGGAAGCTGCTTTTGCAGTTCTAATTGCAACTATGGCTCTTTCTTTTGCCTGGATGTTTGGTGACACAAAACCCAGTGGACACGAACTTTTGATGGGTACAAGCTTGTATAGTGATGAAGTTTGAATATCATTTTCCATTTCATATAATACAAATGCGTTTATCCTGTTCAGTTGCAGCCCCTTCCCCATGGATGCTCCCCAGAGACAGGATTTTACCATTCTTGATATGTTCGCAGGTATAATTGTGTTTGATCCTTCATGTAGGTATTTTGGTTCCGAGACTTAGCTCCAAGACAATTCGCCAAGCTGTAGGGGTTGTGGGTTGTGTCATAATGCCTCACAATGTATTCCTTCATTCTGCTTTGGTTCAATCGAGGAAGATTGATCCCTTGAATAAAGGCCGAGTGCAGGAGGCTCTCAAGTATTATTCCATTGAGTCATCCGCTGCACTTTTAGTCTCTTTCATTATCAATCTATTTGTCACTACGGTTTTTGCTAAGGGGTTTTATGGTACAAAGCAGGCCAATAGCATAGGATTGGTAAATTCTGGGCAGTATCTTCAGGAAAAGTATGGAGGAGGACTCTTCCCCATTCTTTATATATGGGGTATTGGGTTATTGGCAGCTGGGCAAAGTAGTACAATCACCGGTACTTATGCTGGGCAATTCATCATGGGGGGATTTCTCGACCTTCGTTTAAAGAAATGGTTGAGGGCATTGATCACTAGAAGTTTTGCAATTGTGCCAACCATAGTCGTAGCTATTGTTTTCAATACCTCAGAGGCCTCATTGGACATTTTGAATGAATGGCTTAATGTGCTTCAGTCTATGCAAATTCCATTTGCACTCATACCTCTCCTCACCTTGGTTTCCAAAGAGCAGGTCATGGGAACCTTTAGGGTCGGGCCTACTCTGAAGGTCAGCTGATAATCTTACTGTTCTTTCATTTCATCCAATTTTTACTATAAGATCTTTTAAGCAACTTCTGCATGCTTTATGATTTGAAATTATTTCTTGTTCTGGTTCAATAGAAAAATCAATTATGCCTGTTTGTGAGCCGGAATGGAAGTGAAGCAGCAGTAATTAGTCAAGCGACTGTATTACTGTAGGAGCTTTGCAATTGTCTGTATCTGCTTTTATACCTTTGTCTTGTTATGCCCTAAATGCATTTAGTGGATTGGCCGGTTGACTGTGTTTTCTAGGCTCCGGATTTGTTTTATTTGCTTGATCTAAAGAACGTAGTTTGGTGGGGTTTTTATTATATTCCTCCTGCAGGAGAACATTATACCAGCTGCCACTGGTGGAAATATTTGAGTTGTGTCTAGATTTGTATGCTGTAGAATTAGTTCAGAAAAATTTCCAATTAATTGCTTGGAAGATCTGTTCGTTCTGTAGAAACAGATAAAATTGCCATCCCATTCCCTATTCTTTTCTTTCTGCCCCACCTCTGGAGAGAGAGAAAAATGCGTCAATAGGGTAGCATCCTTTTCTCTCGGCTACCCTTATTTCCTTTATTGTGATGTATTCAAACCAGCGATTTAATGGATCCGCACTTCATTTTCCATCTTCTTCCCTTGTATTAAGCATATGAAGATGCTCTCAATTCAGTTACCTGATTTCCTGCAATTAAAATCTTCGTTTTGGTTGATGTGTAATGCTTTGCAGAGGGCGGCATGGACGGTTGCTGTGCTGATAATTGTGATTAATGGGTATCTTTTGTTAGATTTTTTCCTTTCTGAGGTGAAAAGCTTGCTGCTTGGTTTTGCAGTTTGCTCCTGTACAGTTGCATATGTATTATTCATTGTATATTTGGTTTCACGGAGTGGTGCTCTTCCTTCATGTCGGGGTAGTATACTTCCCAAGGGTCTTCTCTGTTCAGAGAATTGAGTCAACAAATTCATACGTCCTGAAAATACTCGAAGTAGTGCTGCAAACTCCAGCTTGGCAATTTTGGATGAGGATTCGTGCTTCAAAAGCCACGAAGAATGTTCGTTCTTACACTAAATAGCTCTGGCCTTGGTACATGCATTAGAGAGGGCATAAGGTCAGAGAGCGGAAAGCACTTCCATTTTCTTTAGATCATTTTTACACTGTGGTTGCAGTGAATTAAGGTATTCTTTTTTCTTTTTCGTTTTCCCACCTCCAGTTGAAGATGTGGATCGGGCATCATTACAGCTTGCGGGATTAGTCCCTTCCCTTCCCTAACAAGAAGAGAACTGTACCATTGTTCTTTGATGCACATAATTAACATAACTCACAGTTTGTACTTTTCTCTTAAAAAAGATAAATAAGAAATGTGGAATTATTTTTCATGCCGAGGATGGCAGGAGAGGTGAATGACTGGTCCGTATTTTATATTCCTAGATGTGGGAACTATAGGTGTTTTCCTTAACCTAAATAGTCACTTGATTATTTATCTATTCGGAGTTTGGACATGGTGATTGACTTAAAAATAGAGTCACCCATTCGGTCCACACTCAACATCTGTCATAGTTATTGATCTTTCTCGCATTACCATTTCTTTTTTTTTTTTTTTCAAAACAGGCAAGCATAGCTCGCAGGCAGGGATTGAACCTTAACAAGGGCCAGTAACCGGTAGCTACTATCCCATCGGGCCACGCAAGCGTTGGCAGCTTGCTTGCATTACTGATCATCAAGCCATACTTGGTTGTACTTAAATCAAGGTAATGACTGCATGCTTCAAGCGATCAAACAATCCTTGTGTGTGGCCTAGGCATGAACAAATATACGACCTTCCATTCTTAAGAATTAGTTAACTAATTTAAATAAATTAAGAAAATTTGTTAAGTTAGTTATTTATAATAAATAGATATTGTCTTTTTTAAAATATCCTTACTAATTATGTGTATTAGTTAGAATTATAAATTAAACATTGAACATGTGCAACTATTATAATGACTACTTAAAAAAAAAAGTAAATAAATATAAGAGATAAAGTAAATTGAGATCTTATATTTAAAACTAAACTAGTTTTTATATCAAGGATTATAAGTATTTTAATTGTGTCAATGTACATGCGTTCAATTGGGTGCACGTGCGAGTTCAATTATTTTTCCATTTGACCGCAGAAAAATCTGCTTATTAGTTGTACGTCTAATGACATGTAAGAAGTTTGCTGAGCAGTCGAGGAAGCTCCATGAGTCATTACGTTTTTAACACGTCATTAAAAACCAGCCTAGGTTGTTTGTTCTAATTAGTGAGCGAGCAAACCTACCCCTTAACTGATTCGATTAAAACTTTAGACCAAGTTAATTGAGTTGAATTTTTTCCCCCCTCTTTGTTGAGCATGAAACTACATCTTTTTTTTTTAAAGAAAAATAACAGTCCGTTGGATCTGCACTTTTATCAACTCTATTTTATTAAATCGTGTGTGATTTTATACATTAAATCGTGAGTGCAAATATTTGTACGTGTTTTAATTAAATTATATTGCTCTTTGGTGCTATTTATAAGTCGATGTTAACATCTTTACACAGATAAAAAAAAACTTAAATTTTTCTAACTTTCCTTTTAAATTTAACAGCCTTCCAACTCCATTCTTATTTAATACAATACATGATACCTTATGTAAACCAAATAAGGACAATAATAAATAAAAATTAAAAGTATATATCTATATAATTTTTTTTTCAGTACCCTATAAATATAAATAGGATTAAAAAAATTTTCTCACCCTGCCTTATAAATGTACCAGAGTAGTATTTTCATAATTTTTTTATATTAAAAAAGCAAGCAGCAGCTTGAGGTTACAAAAGGTGCCTACCTACCCAGACAAGACGTCATAAGTCACTGGGCCACTTGTCCCGGCCCCCAAATCAAAATACCCCACGTTACAAGGAGTATTTTAATAATGATAAGTCTAATTTCAACATCTTGAATTTTAGTTAAGGGCTAGTTAGACGACTTTGACTTGTGACTCCATGCTTCAATTCAAAGTAGCATCCAAAAAAGGCAAAAGGCTACGAAGACGACCGCGATGACAACAATAGTAATGTGGAAATGCCATTCCAAACATTGTTTATTCGGGAAGGTTGAATGAGTCTATTCAATCGTGGCCGGGTTGTGAAAATAGGAGCTTAGGAGGAGGAAATCACCTTACAATCTCATCACGCATAACAGCCAACCGGATGCTTGTGACGCAAGTTTTGTTTTCTGCTTCGCATTTAAGGACTACGGAAGACTGGCTGATCGAATGGGCATATCATATATGTCGTCAATAAATATCTTAATACTCCTTGCATCACACGCTTACTCTGCTTGCATGACCCGGTTTACTTTTGCCGATGATAACTGACGGTCTTGATGGGTCAAAACTTCAATTCCTTGAGGGTTATATATGAAATTACAAGTAAAACTACATCCATTGTCATCATCTTATTTTAGATGTGCTCTCAACACTTTGATGTTATTTTTTTGGTAAATTTATCGCTTTGTTTTTTTTTTAATATAGTTAACATTCTGATGTTATTTTTTTAAAGTTATGTTCAATATAAATAAAATAAGGATGCTATCCAAATATAAAACAGGAAGCTAATTCATTATATCATCAATCATTAACTGTGTCAATCAATCAATCAACTATATTTCTAAAAGCTTATAATACTCAATTTATTTAAAAGTAGGTAGATATGATATTATTGGATCTAGATATGTTTAATTAATAAGATTTGAATATCGTTTTGATTGAGATTTGGATATATCGAGTTAAATAAAAAATATTATAAGTAAGTAAAATTTTAATTAAAAAATTAATAATTAATTTTGAATTTGAATAATATTTTATTTGGGATTTAAATATATTAAATTAAATATGACGTATCTTAAATAGTGTGTAAATTGGAGTCTTCCGTAAAAAAATAAATAATTAATTTCAAATTTTTAAATCTCGAAACATGCTTATTCGCGAGACTATTTGTCGTCCGAACATTTTGTATTGTTTTATTCATAAAGCGCAACAAAGAAATTCGAAAATTTCTTCTCACACGCGGAATATTTCGCCTTTATTATGTGTGTGTCTGTTGTTGGCGACGTTGTAATTGGCCCCGTTTTGAAACTGAAGTCTTAATAGTCGACGGTTCTGGGATTGACCGGTGACTTCTGAATTCTTTTTGACCTGAGTGACTTCAAGCATTAATTTTCACATTCTCTGTTTATTCTATTCTTAATTTTGTGATACCGCCTTCTAAATATTGGAAAAAAACTCCATTCTAAATAATACTCTAAAGCCTTTTTAATTATTTCATCATGATTAGAAAAATTATATGAATAGTCTTGGTTAGGATCCTGGGATTCTCCTGTAAGAAATGAGAGTTGTGACTGGAAATTTGGTTGAGATAGATAGAGTCATTCAGGCTAAGTAAGTATAAGTTGGAGTATCTATTTTGATCCTATTTAGGAGACTTTTTTTTTTTTTTTGCTTCCTCATTCTTTTCCCCTAAAAGTTATCACATAAATATTTAAATTTTACATTCAATTCAAATCTCAGTCGTTAAAAACCTATAGTGTGAGGGATACTTAGGCAAAACGAAAAATTTCTGAAAAAGAAATCTAATTTATGTATCTGACATTTGAAAATAACTGGAAAGAAAGTGAGACCATTTTCAAAATATTATGAAACTACATTCTGGTCCTATTTATAGAGTAAAGAGAGAATGTGTTTTTTATCCTATTTATAGGGTATTGAGAGAATTTTTTTGGTATGGATATACAATTTTACCCTCTATTTATTATTGTGTTGACTTTATTTACTTGAGGTGTGTTGTATATTACATAAGGCTAAAATTAAAAAATTATTGAATTTTAAATGAGAATTAATGAAATTTAAAATTTTTCTTGATCTGTGTAAAATATTTAGAAATGACTTATGAAAAATAACAAAAAAAATATGTCCTTTGACGACAAAAGAATGTCACTAAATGTGTTATTTCTAGTTCAATAGCTAAATTGCAAATTCAATACATCTCATTTTCAGTGTTAGTTAACTAAAAAATTCATATAAAAATAGTCGTGAAACTTGTAATTTTTAATTTAATACCTAGTTGTTAGTTTAATATTTATTATTCTTAGTTCAAAATTTGTTAACTAAGTAACTAACTAATTAAAATTGTGGAGAACGGAAAAAGTGATAAAACTTGTTAGTCATAGTCCAACACTTGTAATTTTCAGTTTTGTCAATATCATTTATGACACAAAAGTGCATATGGATAATTTTACAACATTTTCAAAACAGTTTCACTTCTTTTTCTATCATTTTTAAGTGTTAGCTGCCTAAACTAAAGTGTCATGTATTCAAACTTCTTTTCTATTTTATGGTTTTTTTCCTTAGGAAAAGTATCATAAATGGTTGAAAATTATATACAAATATATGGGATAAGTTCTGTTTTCTGATAATTCGTGTGAATCATATAACAAACTCTTGCAGATTTTTTTTTTTTTTTGCTATCAAAACTCTTACAGATTAACATCAATAATTATAACTAATAAAACATGATCCTGCTGTGTTTGCAAATTTAATGTTTCTTAATTAAAATTAGGGTGGGAAGGCGGTGTTTGGTTTTTCAAAAGGCGTTTACTGCGGATGGCTGTGGTAAACGCCTTTATGAAAAAACAACGGGGGAACAAAAAGAAGCCCAGATGGGATTGGGCTAGAAAGGCGTGGGGCCCATATAATCTTTTTTCAAAAGACGGAAGCAGTCAACGAGGGGTCCAGTTTTTGAGGTGACATTAAGAAAAATGCGATTTCGTATTCCCTGAGATTTTCCAAATATTGCATGCAGAATCATACTCTTGACCCACGACTCTCCTTCCTGCTATCCCCTTCCATGACTCTCTTTCTCTCTCCCTCTCGCCTCTTTTCCACTAATCCTTAGCTCTTCTGTAATTTCGCAACTTTCCTAATTTTTTCCTAAATATTAACGATATTTCAATATTATTACTTACTTCACTAAAAACTCGGCTCCTCACGCTCCCTTGAATCCTCAAACCCTCTTTCTAAACCCTTCCTTCTCAAAGCCCTTCGGCGTGCGAGCTTTTGCTTGCGGGTTAAGGATGGACGTTCATCGACGCCCTTCTCCCCTCAAGATTGACTCTGCTAATTCCGCTTCTTCTCCGTCCGGAATGAGCCTCCCCGACTCATTATTTCAAAATCATTGCTGCCAATTTGGTCCTGATCATACCCTTGAGGAGTCTTTTGCCCGTCTGAGTATCCCGTCCTCCAACCACTCGCCCCCGTATTCTTCTCTCTTTAACTCAGCTCTTGATGGCGGCGCCATTAGACGTGGATATCCTATGGAGTCAATGCTGGAGAAAAAACTTTCAGTTCAGAATATTGATTGTAATAACCAAGGTGTTGGCGGAATGCGACCGCAGAATTATTATGTGGGGTCTGATATTTGGGGTTTGGAGAACTCTTGGTCGCCTTCTTATCCGACATCGGATGCTAATGAGCACTATTCGAACTATTTCGCGATGCAACAAGAAGTCGGCACGAGTTTCCCGACTGTCCCACTATCGAATGGACATGGATTGCCCTTCAAGTTACTACAAGATCACGGTCGTTTTGATTCAGGAAATACTATATCGTATCTTTCTAATTTTGATATTGATGGCAGCCATCCCCACTGGTTGCAGCCGTCTTCGAGTCTCCAATCAATCGGTGATTTTCGCGGGAACATGCTGTTGTTAGCAAAGCATCAATTTGGATGTCGACTCTTGCAGGAGATGATGACTGGCTTAAAAACAGAGGAGATTTCTTTGATATTTTCTGAGCTGATTGAACATGTGAGCGAGTTGATGCTGGACCCCTTCGGAAATTATGTTTTTCAGAAGATGCTGGAAGTCTGCACCGAAGAACAGAGGACTGAAATCATTCTAATGGTCACCAAAGCTAAATTTCAGCTTGTCAATATTTCTCTTAACATGCATGGGTAATGAATATCTATTTTTTCGCTTTTAAAAATCTTGGACTTGTTTGGCTAAAAAAAAAAATCTTGGACTTCGTTATTTCACCGTGTTGCCTCAATGCTCAATCTTGAATTCGTTCTGACATAATGGTTTCTCTTTGCTCATAGCAGAACCCGTGCTGTGCAGAAATTATTGGAACATGTTACCACCCGGAATCAACGAGCCATAATCATGTCGGCTCTAACTCCTGGTGTTGTTGCATTGACCAAAGATATCAATGGCCATCATGTGGTTTTGCATTGTCTAAAACAACTTTCAGTTGAAGAAAATAGGGTAAATATTTTTTTTCCTTCCAGTATCCCTGATTTTGTGCTGTACTTTGTCCCCACCCCGTGCTTGGTTAGCATATTAATATAATCATATTCCACTTGGGTATGTATGGTGACCATCTAAGCACAAGTCATTTCTTTTCCATCACCATTACAACAACACAACTTTAGAAATTCGTATACTTATCAGATAAAATTGCCTTAGTTTCAATCATAGAGGTGTTAAACTCATAATTCTCTTTTTCCCGGGAGTTCACTTAACAACTGCCCATTTGGTGTGCATTATTTAATTAAATGACTTTGGCTTTGGTCAGGAACTGCAAGGTCGATTTGAGGTTGAAGGATATATATATCTCTGCTGCTTTTTTTTTTGGGGGGGGGGTGGTTAGGGATAAATCTAACACCACTTCTATAATAGATATTTTATCGTAGTATGTACAAAGACCCTGAATGTTTCATTGTTCTCGTAATTTAATCCATTTTAGGTTAGTTAAATTATATTGCAATTTGTGCTCTTGCAGCAGCTGAATACATTTGATTTTTCCACTTTTCCACGATACATTATTTGTTAACGACCCATTGCATGCAATACTTGAGCATGGTCTTCATTAATAGGAGATCTTGATCCATCAGGATTCTAATATGTAGAGCGATGGATTTTCAGGCTATATAGTAGATAGTCACCAATTTTTGTCGTCACAGTATGTTTATCATATTTCACCAATTTACCTTTATCTGCTACCTCTACGTTTTCCAATGTTTTTCCTCTATGTATTTTCTGCCTTGTTCACTTAGCTTTATAAAGGACGAAAGTTTTCTTCATAGGTATAAGGAAAGTGATTGTCATGAATTGATTATAAATGCTTGTGTAAAAAAAAAAAATGCAAAAGCACATTTGTATAGAAAATGAACCATCCCAATGCAACATGCCCTTGTTTGGATAGGCATGTCAAGATCCAGTATGAATGACAACAGGATTTTTGAAAAGTTTCCTGATTCCCTTTTTTGTAAAGGAAGCTAAAGAGAAAATTGAAGTGATGCACAATTCTTATTGGATGAAATCTGGATTGTTATGTTATTCTCCTGTGGTTTTCTGTCATCAAATTTTCTGATTTTAGACTCCCCTGGCAGCATCTTCTGAATGAAGTAGCAAACCGCTGTTTTGAGATTGCAACAGATAAAAGTGGGTGCTGCGTGCTGCAGCAATGTGTGAACCATGCTGAGGGAGCAATAAAAGATCACCTCGTGTATGAGATCGTACAACATGTTTTGAAGCTAGCTAAAGATTGTTACGGGTTTGTTTTGAATGGATCATGAAATTCTCTCATATGACATTGACACTTTTTTTTTTTGGGTACAAAAGATCTAACTACCATTGTTTCACTTGCATGTTGTTTTTTTCCCCTCTTCCAGCAACTATGTGGTGCAACATTTGATCTCTCTGAGGATAGCAGCAGTTACAGAATCTATGCTGATAAGGCTCCAAGGGAGCTTTGTCTCTCTTTCCTGCAATAAATATGCTAGTAATGTTGTGGAGAAGTTTCTACTTGAGGCTGGAGAGAAGTATTCTACACCAATAATTTTGGAGTTGCTTCAAGACAGATACGCTTCAATGCTTCTTGTGGATCCATTTGGCAATTATGTCATCAGATCAGCGCTGGTGGTGTCCAAGGTTAGGGGCACTATAACGCATGAGAATTCGTTTATTTGTGTCTGCCCTTTTCTTTGGGAAAAAAATTGGAGTTTCTAATAGTATAGGCAATTGACAAGCTACTGTGGTAAAATTCAAGGTGCTTCTCTCGGTTTGGACAGGATATATTTATCTGTTTGCTTATTTCATGGTAGCATTGACTGGGTCGGATTTGCTTCAAAGCGCACTTAATTTAGGAAGCCCGTTGTAAACAGGATTTTGCGACTTTTGTAACCAAATCGCTATCACATTAATTTGATCAAAATACGCTGACTAAAACCAGGGGATTTCTTTTCTTTATAATAGATCAACGGGTTGCTAAACACACCCATAACTAAGTGTCATCAAGCTTCTCTGAAGGCATTTTTCAGGAATATTGCTTTCTTTGATGTTTTTATATCTTCAAAAATAGGCCAAGTCCTCGTTGATAAATCTTTTTATGAAGCATTTCTCTAGGAATATGCAGAACATGCCACATGGTGTCTAAAGCCTCGTGGAATTCATTGCAATGCTATGCAACAACGCTAACCCATTTTTTTCCTGGGTGTAGGGACACATTCGTGATGCACTGCTGGTGCTGATTGAGCGAAATTCCTCAAAGATGCGTACCAATCTCTACGGGAAAAAGCTACTTGCCCGGTTTGACAGGGGCAACCTAAGATTCATCTAGACATGTATTATTATTTGTTATATATTTCATGTTTTCTGTGAAGACTTTCTTCTTTAGGGAGTCATTCATTTTCGATTGTGTCCCATTTACTTGAGAACCAACGCAAGGTCTTGAAGCAGTGTATGTAGCAGCTCTCGTCTATAGTGGTAATTTGTTAGTGGAAGGTAATTGAAAGCAAGCGGACAAAGGGCAAGTACATAGGAGCTCAATTTATATATTACTTTGTCTTCGTACAAACGCTGCTGCTGCTGTTGTTGTAGTGGTTGTTGTCTGTCCCCCTTTACAACTTTTGCTTTGTATTTTTAGCTACAATAAATGGAACCCATTTGCTCTGGTCCCTTGTTTTGAAATTGTTCGATTTGTGGATTCGTGACTTCTTAATTTTAATTTTAATAGCACAAACATTTCAATTATATATAGATTTAAGATTTTCAAACCTTTTGAATCGTATGTATTAATTGTGGTTTGACCTTTTCTCCTTTCAAGAATCTGAATCAATAAGTCCTACTTTTTATTCATTTTTGTTAGAGAAATATTAGTAGTTTACTTTTTAAAAGAGGAACCATCAGCCAACTAACTAATTCGTACTGGGAAATCTGAAAATTAAATGTTTGATTTAAAAGAAATGGGTTACGTTGTATGGAGGGAAGGATAATGATGATGCTTTTATTGCTTGAACAGAGAAATCAGACTTGTTTGATATCATGATGCGCAGATTCATCAAATATATGTCCGAGAGTGTGCCTACGGTCAATAATTTGACTGCATAATTGATAACTTATGGGAGGAGGAGAGCAGTCCAGCGAAACCGAAACCCGAAACAAAGACGAAGCCGGAGAAATAAACGAACTCCCAGGAGAGCAAGCCAGAAACTGCACCTTAGCTCTTCCCCTTCCAAGGCATACTTTAAAATAGGATCATTTCTATACTGACTGCGGATCAAATAAATGTTGGTATATCCTGTTAACTTTTCTATTAATAAACAAAAGTCTTGAAAAAATTAGTACTATTATTCACCCTATCAATTTGGCTGCTTCGCTGCTCCGTGGAGGACCCACCCCGCCCGCGAGTAGCACCAGATATTTTTTCCTCGCAGGGCGTAAGCTGTGAACAGAGATTTAAAACACTACCGAGTCAGGGGTCAACACCTCCCTCACGTGCCATATATTCACAAATTGATCAATTAATATGGTTAACAAAATAAAAGTTCAAACTCGAAGCATCAGTTTCAATAAATTATTTCTAATTTGGAGCACTAACTGTCATAAGTCAGGAGATCTTTGATGGTGAACCTCGCGAGCTCACTTTGCATGTGATGTTTCTATCCTTTCATATTTGATCACTAGAAAGCACTGATTCATGTAAGCCCATCTTCCTGCTGTCTTATTGTCTTTCTGCGATATCTGTTTCGGCTTTTTCTTCCGGAAACATAGATGGATTGATGCAGGAACTCGTGTCTGTTTTTTTTTTTTTGGGGGGGGGGGGGGAGATTACTGGAGAGAAACGGGAACAGAAGAAGAGTTTTAGCCCTTTGGGTGTACGAAGGCACAAGTTATTCATTGCAAAGTGCAGTATACATGGCGGTGCACATAGAGACAGACATACAGAGTAAGAGCGGACAGGAATACCCAAATCAACTTATTTCTAAGGACCTAAATTCATAGGACAAAATTATCCATACATAGGACGGAAGAAATTAAACGAAGGAGTATCTGAATAGTAACAAGGAAGCTAGTTAAGTGGAATCAGGGGCATTTGGGGTCTCCCTTGCTGTTCTTGAGATCTCTGTAGCAAGGGCACTCGTGCTTGTTGCCATAAGTCCCAGAAGGCACGCACTTGCACCTCTCACAGCAGATCCCACAGTAGTTCATGCATCTATCCCGCACTCCTGCCTTGGCGCATCTCTCCCCGCACTTGGCGTCACAGAATGCTGCAATTTCACCAACAAACACATCAGTTTAAATCTCTTTATCTTGAATGAGTGAAGGAGAAATGAGCTTCATCCTCTAACAGAAAAGCTCAAGGAAAAGGCACAGAACCAGCACAGTCGCGAAGCTTGGCTTCATCTTGAAAAGAAGGACCGAAACAGAGGATGTGGATGAGGAAGGAAGGGGAAGGGCTTATTTATAGCATGAAACGAGGAGAGTGGGCGAAGGGGTTAGGAATATGTTACTGTGAGGATTTATTGGACACTTATCAACAAGTTGTAACCCAAGCACAGCTGGCCCTTGATTTTTCTTCTGGCTTTTGGATTTACCTGCCCTTGTACCCCTTTCTTTTTTCTTTTTTTTTACCAAGGACCCCTTTTCATGAGGAGTAAATTATTAATTGCCCCTACGTGATATGAATTTAATTGCGAGATTTTGAAAGAAAAAAGGGAAGGCTGGTAGGAAACTGGACCCGGCAGGGCCAGCATGCACGACAAAACAATTACTAGGTTGACAACTAATTCGACTCTGTCACTTCCACTAGCTAGCAATTTCCCGACAAAAAAAAAGTTGCATTTTAATTTTTAAATAAAAGCTCCAAAAATGGTTTAGAAGGATGGAGAGCGAGAGAGGAGGGGATGAGCTAAGAATAGGAACCTAACACGCCAAACTGGAGTAAAAGAAAGGACCACCGACGTCGGAAAAAGAATCTGGGAAGGCGAGCATATAGTCATCACATCTTAAGATAAAAGTTGACACTCCACAGTGTTGAATTTGGATTGATGAGGAATACCAATCCTATGGTTGCTAAAATATACATTCGGCATTTTTATCAAAACCCGATAACAGTAAACAAATTTGACGTATAGTATAGACATTATACGGTGAAAATTAATAAAATGTTACACTTAAAATCATTCTACCAATAATGATTTCAATTTTACAAAGAAACCGTTCTTGTCAAAAATAATTTTGCTTTCAATTTAATCTCTTTTCTCATTATATCACTTTGACAATTTTATTCTTTTAATAAAAATGGTGAAAAAAACTCAAAAAATTAATTGTTGAGTTTCAAAATTTTAATTCCAAAATTTAAATCAGTATCAGTTATTATATTCGTAAAAAAATAATTACATCAAAAAGTAAATGAAAACGTATTTTATAATAATTTTAATTTAAAATTTAAAAATTTTAAATTATTTTTAAATATTTTTCGAAGAGTAAAATCATTCTCACTTTTTCTGTCGTTTCTCTCGTCTAGCATCTTCAGTAACTAGCAAGGGAATAAAAAATTGTTTTTCTTCTCCTCACTTCAATCCCTTATGCATGGATATTCAATTCTCATTAACTATGCATTGCACTTAATTTTTTCTAGTAATTCAATTTGATCTTAGTACCAATTTTTATATATATATATATATATATATATGGAAAGGCAATGAAAATGATGATTATAGTAAAGCATAACGAGACCATGTTGTAAATGAGCCGAAAAATAATTTGGGCATGATCCTATTAAATAATGTAATATCCTTAACTTTGATCATTTTACTTGATTTATAAAGTGATATATAATCTAATCACACATATAAATAATTTACAAAAGTCATGTAATATATGTTATAATTAAATATTTTTTTAACTTTTTTAATTTTTTTAAATAGTTAACTAAGTCTTATATTAATGATTAAATGTAGTATAATTAATTGGTTAATATTTTTTTTGATCTCTCAAGTTTATTCTCGTTTTGGTTTTGATTTGTCAAGTTTCAAATCATAGATTTTGATTTCTCAAATTTCTATTCATCTAAAATATTGGTACTTATAATTTAATAAACACCCAGATTATTTTGTCTCTCGAATGATCAAAACTTATAATTTAAAATTTAAAAAACCAAAACTAAAATGAGAGTTAATCTGAGGAACCAAAAATACTATTACCCTTAATTAATCTTAAAATTGTTTTTTTTGTACAGAAAATTTCTTTGTTAACTATGCATTGCTTAAATTTTTTGATAGTAATCTAATTTGATCTTGCAAAAATGATAGAAAAATGTTAATATCTCTGATCATTAACATAGAAGCTAAAAACTAATTTGTAAACAATTCTCATGCCATTCACTATAAATGTCACATTGGAAAAGTGAGAACAAGTGAAATCTTTCCTAACATAAACAATTTCACCTTTTATTAAAAAATATAATTGTCAGATTGATGGAATGATATGATGAAAAAAAAATTAAAGTGAAAATAAAATTATTCTTGATAAAAATAATTTCCTTATAAAATTGAAATTGTTCTTGGTGTGAATAATTTTTATATAGTATTTTGGTAAATAATTTCTATCGTATAGGATTTAGATAATCTTTTTGCAAATAAAAACGTTTTTAAATTGCACAAAATAATCCACGATGATCCAGCCCGCGTCGGTGGGACACAGGCAGAGCTGGCTGGCTAAAGCGCTTGCTTTTTTAACTGGCAAAAGGGCAGGACTGAATGCCCTTTAGAAGGCTCTAGAGAACCCAGGAAACACCTCCGAGAGGAAAAGAAGGATTGAAATGGCATTCTGGGAAAGGGAGGATTCCCTCGTACGCCGTTTTGGCCTTCAAGTCGGTTCTGGCTCACGTGATCTGTCGGCATTATTATTATTATTATTATTATTATTCTATTTATAAAGCTTCAATAAGAGTTGATGTTCATGCATCATGAATACATGGCCATTTTTTAATTCGACCAACACTGACTGTTGTTAATTATTAAATATTTTTTTAGTTCTAAATATAAAATTTTTATATTAGATATGAGATTAATCTGAGGATGAAGGTCCGATAATCTGAGCCCCACGAGCGTGTTATGAGGCTTTTAAAGTATCTGTTGAGATGTTCAGATTACTTTATGCACATGTTTTCTTCATGCGCTCGCAGATTAAGCGATTGAATTCGTGATTTATAGTCATCCTGTCACTTGACCTCCCTGCTAATCTTGCAAGAATTACAATCAAATCCCATAAAAAATAACTACTAAAAGGTCCAATAACCATCTGAGCAGTCTGTAATGGCAATTTTCAGAGAGTGAGAAATAATAACTTTGTGATTTATTTTGTAATTTTTTATATAAACCTCACTGTAATTCTCCTGCTAATCTCTTGTTTTTTTTTTTTTGGGTTTGAAATAAAGACGCGCATATAAACAGCTCGCTGATGAGGCAGGATGAAGGTCCGATAATCTGAGCCCCACGTGTAACCTTGCTTTATGAAATGGCATGAAAAACAGTTGGTGGGCATCCCGTTTTAGGTTTTATTGACGGACTCCGTAACATATGTAATAATGACATGATTAACGCAC